CTGATGAACTCCAGGCGTCCTCATCTGTCAAAGGAAGAAGTTCTGGTAGCTGGTTGGAAGAATGTGAGGACTTGCTGGGATGGTTCAGGGGCATGTGCCCCGCAAGGCCTGGCTCAGTACTTGGTTATAGTTGCCAGTGTTATTTTTGCAGTGATTCCTAATCTGTAAAGTAAGGGGAGCACCCTTACTTCTAGAGTCTTCTTACTTCTAAAGTCTTCTAGCAAGTGTCCAAACGTCTGCTTTGAGGCTTTGGGTAAAATGTATGCCTTCATATTGCTTAACAGGGTAATATTCTGGGGATATATCACATTTTGTTTATCCATTTGTCAGTTAATGGGTCTCTCGATTTTTTTTTTTAAATTTATGATAGTCACACAGAGAGAGAGAGGCAGAGACACAGGCAGAGGGAGAAGCAGGCTCCATGCACCGGGAGCCCGACGCGGGACTTGATCCCGGGTCTCCAGGATCGCGCCCTGGGCCAAAGGCAGGTGCTAAACCTCTGCGCCACCCAGGGATCCCGGGTCTCTCGATTTTTACCAGAGATTTGGCCCATTTACTTTTTGACTATTAAGAGTAATGCTACTTTACTCTTTAACTTTTTTTAATTTTAAAATTTCTTTTAAAGATTTTATTTATTTATAGAGACACAGAGAGAGGCAGAGACATAGGCAGAGGGAGAAGAAGCAGGCTACATGCAGGGAGTCAGCTGTGGGACTTGATCCCGGGACTCTAGGATCACGTCCTGAGCTGAAGGCAGATGCTTAACCACTGAGCCATTCAGGCGTCCCATTGTTAAAAATAAATTTATTTATTCTATTTATTCATTCATTCATTCATTCATTCATGAGAGACACACAGAGAAAGGCAGAGACACAGGCAGAGGGAGAAGCAGACTCCTTGCAGGGAGCCCGATGCGGGACTCAATCCTGGGACCCTGGGATCACACCCTGAGCCGAAGGCAGATGCTCAACCGCGGAGCCAACGGATGTTTCCTCATTATGGTTTTAGTTAGTATTTCCCTATATTGACTCAAGACATCAGCACCTTTCTGTGCACTTATTAGCCATTCATATCTATTCTTTAGTAACATGTTTATTCAAGTCTTGTCCATTTCACGAATTCAGAAAGTTACAGGATAGACAATCAACATATAGAAGTTTATTGTATTTCTATACACCAGTAATCACTTATCAGAAAGATAAGATAAGGGATCCCTGGGTGGCGCAGCGGTTTGCAGCGGTGTGGCGCAGCGGTTTGCGCGTTTGGCCTGCCTTTGGCCTAGGGCGCGATCCTGGAGACCCAGGATCGAATCCCACATCGGGCTCCCGGTGCATGGAGCCTGCTTCTCCCTCTGCCTATGTCTCTGCCTCTCTCTCTCTCTCTCTCTCTCTCTCTCTCTCTGTGTGTGTGTAACAATCATAAATAAAAATAAAAAAAAAGAAAGATAGGATAATAATTCCATTTACCATTGCATCAAAGATAATGAAATACCTAAGAATAAATTTAACAAAAGAGGTGAAAGACCGGTACGCTGGAAACTATGACCCTGCTGAAAGACACTGAAGGCATAAATAAATGGAAAGATATCCCATGCTCATGGATTGGAAGAACTAATATGGTTCAAACGTCCAGACAGCCAAAGCAATCTATAAATTCAATGCCATCCCTATCAAAGTTCCAATGGCACTTTTCAAAAATAGATGAAACAATGCCAGAATTTCCATGGAACCACAAAAGAGCCTGAGTGGTCAAAGCAATCTTGAGAAAGAAGAACAAAGCTGGAGCATCACGTTTCCTGATTTCAAACTATATTACAATGCTATAGTAATCAAAACAGTGTGGTATTGGCATAAAAACAGACTTGGATAGATGAATGAAACGGAGTAGAGTGCAGAAATAAACCTGTGCATAAATGGTCAATTAACTTAATACAGAGGAGCCAAGAATATACAACGGAGAAAGGATAGTCTCTTAGTGATGGGGAAAGTGGACCACCGTCTTATAGGATACACAAAAATTAACTCAAAATGGATTAAAGACTTATTCTTTATAGATTTTATTTTATTTATTTTTAAAGATCTTTTTTTTTAATATTTTTTAAAAATTTATTTATTCATGACAGATGCACACAGAGAGATAGGCAGAGGCAGAGGGAGAAGCAGGCCCCATGCAGGGAGCCTGATGTGGGACTTGATGCCGGGACTCCAGGATCGCACTCTGGGCCAAAGGCAGGCGGTAAACTGCTGAGCCACCCAGGGATCCCCTCTTGATAGATTTTAAAGACTTACAAGACCTGAGACCATAAAAGTCCTGGAAGAAAACATAGGAGGTAAGCCGCTTGACATTGATCATGGTGATGATTTTTTGAATTTGACCCCAAAAGCAAAAACAACAAAAGTAAAAAAATAAACAAGTGGAACTACATCAGACTACAAATATGCACAGCAAGGACCATTACCAAAATGAAAAGGCAACCTTCTGAGTGGGAGGAAATGTTTATAAATCATCTGTCTGATACTGGGTTAATAACCAAAATATATAAAGCTCGTACAAATCAGTAACACAAGAACAATCAGATTAAAAAACAGGCGGAGGATCTGAATAGACAGTTTTCCAGAGAAGGCATAAGATGGCCAATGGTGACATGGAAAGATGCTCAACATCATCAGGAAAAGGCAAATCAAACCCACACCTCTTAGAATGGCTGTTCTCAACAAGAGAAGAAATAACAAGTGTTGGTGAGGATATGGAGAGAAGGGAACCTTCGTGCACTGTTGGTGGGATTGTAAATTGATGCATCGACTATGGAAAACAAATTAAAAATAGAACTGCCGGGACACAGGTGGCTCAGTGGTTAAGTGTCTGCCTTCAGCTCAGGTGGTGATCCCGGAGTTCTGGGATTGAGTCCTGTATCGAGCTCCCCTCAGGGAGCCTGCATCTCCCTCTGCCTGTGTCTCTGCCTCTCTGTGTCTCTCGTGAATAAATAAATAAATAAAATCTTTTAAAAAAGTATATATAACTACCATGTGTTCTAGTGATCCCACTTCTGGGTATTTATCTGAGGAAAACAAAAATACTAACTCAAAAAGATAGATGCACCTCCATGTTCATTGCAGTATTACTTACAATGGGCCAAGATATAGAAATACCCTGTGTCCATTCATGGGTGAATGGGTAAACAACATGACACACACGCACACACACACACGCACACACACACACAATGTAATGTTGTTTGGCCATAAAGAAGCATGAAATCTTGCCATTTGTGACAACATGAATAGACCTCGAGGGAATTTTGCTAAGTGAAATAAGTCAAACAGAAAGAGAAATACTGGTGATCCCATTTATATGTGGAATCTTTAAAAAAAAAAAAAGGCTCATAGATACAGAGAACAGATGGTTGGTTGCCAGAGTTGGGGGTTGGGAGATGGCTAAAATAGGTAAAGGGGGTCAAGAGGCACAAACTTTCAGTCATAAAATAAACAAGTCATGGGGATTTATTGTACAGCATGGTGACTGTAGGTGATAATACTGTACAGAGTATTTTAAAGTTGCTAAGAGAGTAAATCTTAAAAGATCTTATCATGAGAAAAAATTCTGGGGCAGCCTGGGTGGCTCAGCGGTTTAGCACCACCTTTGGCCCAGGGCGTGATCCTGGAGACCCAGGATCGAGTCCCGCGTCGGGCTCATTGCATAGAACCTGCTTCTCCCTCTGCCTGCCTCTGTCTCTCTTTCTCTCTGTGTTTCTCATGAATAAATAAATAAAATCTTTTTATTTTATTTTATTTTTAATTTTTTTTTTTTTTTTTACTTATTTATTCATGAGAGACACAGAGATGCAGGCAGAGGGAGAAGCAGGCTTCATGCAGGGAGCCTGACGTGGGACTCGATCCTGGGTCTCCAGGATCAGGCCCTGGGCTGAAGGCAGGTGCTAAACCGTTGAGCCACCCGGGCTGCCCTAAATAAATAAAATCTTAAAAAAAAAAAAAAAAGTGGATGTCATTGCTTTGTTCCTCATCCTAATGGGAAAAGCATGTCTTTCACCCCTAGTGCAGTGTTAGCTTCGGGTTTTCATAGATACCTTTTATCAAGTTTTGTAAATTCTCTTTTATTCCTAGTTTGTTGAGAATTTGTTTTATTTTTATTTGAGAGAGAGAGCGAGCTCAAGCAGGGGGAGCAGCAGAGGGAGAGGGAGAAGCAGATTCCCTGCTAAGCAGGGAGCCCAGCATGGGGTTTGACCCCAGGACCCTGAGACCATGACCTGAGCCAAAGGCAGACGCTTAACAACTGAGCCACTCAGGCACCCGTTGAGAATTTTTATGATGAATCTGTGTTTTACTTTATCCCATGCCTTTTTTTTAAATCTATTTAGATGAACATGTTTTTTTTTTTTTATCCTATGTCCTATCCATATAGTATGTTACAATAATTGCTTTTTTAGATTTTAAACCAACCTTGCAATCCTGGGATAAGTCCCACTTGGTTGTAATATATAATCCTTGTGAAATATTGCCATGTTCGGTTTGCTAATATTTTGTCGAGGATTTTTTTTTTTTGCATGTATATTCATGAAGAATATCGATCTGTTGTTTTGCTTCTTTGTGATGCCTTCCTCTGGTTTGGGTCAGAAAATGAGCTGGGGAGCGTTACCTCCCCCTCTGTTTTCTTATCCATTTCCTTTCAAAGGGATAATTTATGGCTTTTTTTGGGTGGCTGGGAGCTCTTCTCTTTTCTCAAAGCTAATTCTTTGCAGGGATGTCTTTAAGATTTATGTCTGGCAGCGCAGTTTATCAGCTCTGTCCCGGGCCCGTTTCCTGGCAGACGTGGCTCAAGATGGGCCAGGTGCTGAGCGCCTCTGAGACGTCTCACCTGGTCACATCTGGCACTCACATCTGCAAGTGAATCCTCAGAACTTCCTTATGGGGGCTGGGAGGTCTGCTCCCCGGCAGCTGGGCGGCGTGGCTGAAGGTACTTTGCCTCCCCTCCTCTTCTAACAGAGTAGCTACGAACCACAAGGTACGGGAGCAGGTGCGCCTGGAGCTGAGCTTCGTGAACTCCGACCTGCAGATGCTCAAGGAAGAGCTGGAAGGGCTGAACATCTCAGTGGGAGTCTATCAGAGCACGGAGTAAGTGGCGCCAGTTACTCTCTCTTCCAGTTAACCTTCTGAGCCTGGGAAATTGCAGTTTCAGGTACGGTGCCCAGGCCTGAGGGTGTGGCCGACCCCACTTTGGGAAGAGAGGGATTGATCGGTTTGAGGTTTGCGCCTCCAGTTGTCCTAGGATGCTTGGGGACGTAGCTTGATGGGGGTGCTGTGCAGCTGGGAGCAGATGAAGAGATGGCACCTGTCATGTGGCTCTGCCGTAACGATGCCCTGGACGCACGTCTGTGGTTAGCGCTGAGAGCCAGCCTGCCCGGTGGGGGCCCACACTGCCTTCCCTTCTTCCCCCTGCCCTCCTCCTCACCGTGCACAAGGCCTGCCTGGGTCATTCTATTGATGGGACACAAAAACACAGGAACAACTTGACAGGGATCATTTATGTCAAAGATCAGGGGACTCACATGAGTTCCCTGAGGACACACTTCCGAAGCGTACCCCAATACATCTTTGAGAAACAAATGCTGCAATTCAGAGGCCTCCCTCTAGGGAGTGTTGCTGGGAGGTGCACTATTGAGGTGGGCCCTTCAGAAGAGCTCAGAAACACTGGGTGTTATACTATAGGTTGGCAAATTGAATTTAAATAAAATTTTAAAAAGAGGAAAAAGAAAAGAAAGCTCAGAAAGTCTCCCCAAGGTGCACTACCTTTGAAAGAGAGGTCCATCTTTAAGGAGAAATAACTTCTTTTCCCAACCCTGTGTGGGGAAATGAGGCTTCTCAAAAGGTAGGTGAGCACCAGGGGAAATTCAGTAAATAGGTCTGTGGATTAACAAAAGGTTGACAGGTGGGAACCCTGAGTCACCTTTGGAGTATGCTTTTTCTTTTCTTTTCTTTTTTTTTTTTTAAAGATTTTATTTATTTATTCATGAGAGACCCACAGAGAGGCAGAGACACAGGCAGAGGGAGAAGCGGGCTCCATGCAGGGGACCCGATGTAGGACTTGATCCTGGGACCCCGGGGTCATGCCCTGGGCCCAAGGCAGATGCCCAACCGCTGAGCCACCCAGGTGCCCCTGGAATGTGCTTTTCCTGATTACCCCCAATCCTCTGCACGCCCGTGGGTGTTTTCAGGGCTGCAGGGAAAGCGTTAGCATGTGAAGCCTCTGCTCTTGCCCCTGGGCCGTCCCTGTGCCCAGGCACGCTCACCTGTGAGCTGTGCGTTTGGGGGTGGGGGATGCACACACCTAATCAGAACAACAGGTGGGAGGCTTCTCCCCACCTGCACTGTGGTATTAGATTCCAGGGTTTTGCCCAAAGGTTGAAGTTCCTTGAGTGAGCGAGCCGGGGACAAACATTGCGCATACGTGCAGGGTGCTGTGTCATGCTCCCCCTCGCTGGGCCGGAGTGCAGGGTGGCCACCGCGGGGACGGGTGTGGAAGGCCCCCGCGTGATTACAGCGTGGCTCCCCGGTGGCCACCCGGTTCCCCGTGCCCTCTGGAGGAGGGGACACAGCTGGGCAGGGTCATAATGACACATTGGGTCTGCATCCGCCCCCATCCTGCTTTCGGAGCAGGTTCTTTCTTTCTTAGCACCCTTGATCTTTAAACATTCCTGTGAGGCAGGCCCAGAGGAGAGGGTCAGCCGGGCAGCTGAGAGCACGCGAGGGGGCTGCAAGGTCGTGGAGAAAGTTAGGGTAGCGCAAGGTTGGGGCTGGGAAGTCACGGGGACAGCAGTCCTTGCCTCCAGCCCCAGTGGGGTGAGGGCAGGAGGGTGCTGGGGCCCAGAGAGAGGCACGGCCCACCCTGTCCCCCCTTCCAGCAGGTTCCAGCTTTCCCTGCGGGCTTGGAAGCCACGCACCCCCACCGTTGGATCTCGCCTGCTTTTAGCACAGCCCGTGGTTTCTTCCCTCGGCCACAGAGGCAGTGTCAGCTTACAGCTGCATTGTCCACTACCCTGCCCGGCACGCCTGGCCTTCTCCCCGGCGGGCTGAGCGGCCCCGGGAGGTCTTCTGTTACAGGTCAGGGAGCTAAGTCTCTGTTTGCAAAACACAGCCCAAGTGCCCCTTCCTTCCTGTTGGCCCTGCCCCTGTCCCTAGGAACAGAGGCTCAGGGAATACCGGGTGACCTGGGGGGTAACTGAGTGGTCAGTCGGTAGGGAGCCACATAGGGGACAAGTCGCTGGCCAGGATGTGACCCTGGGCTGGAGCTGGGTGCATTGAGTTGTCATACGGGGTCCCTGCTCTCAAGGTCTTCCCCGTGCAGGTAATGGGTCCCCTGGGGGAGATGTCCCATTGGAGGAGGCCCCCGAGGGCCAGGTTTGGGGAGGGGGCCCTGCCCCGGTGAGGAATGGAGGTGGGAGGAGGTTGGGGTTGGGAGCTGATGAAGGGGTTCCCCCTGGCCAGCTGGTGTGCCCAGGTCTGGGAGCCACACGCACAGCAGGCACACTTGCCACGTGGGAGGTCCTCAGCACAGTCCCTGAAAGAACGGTTGAGGTTGGGACCTAGGCCAAGGTGGTAGGTCTCATGTGGTAGGTCCAGGAGTCCCAGGGTGCTGGGATGGGGTTTAGAACAGAGGCAGGCATGTGACCAGAGGCATCTCTGTGCTGGGTAGTGGGGGAGGTGGTGGGGGGCTCCTGAGCTGGGCCACTGGGCCCAGAGCGGGATGTTCATATACTGTGTTCCTTCCAGGGAGGCGTTTACGGTCCCCTTGATTCCGCTTGGCCTGAAGGAAACCAAGGACGTTGACTTCTCAGTCGTTCTCAAGGTAAGTCTCAAAGCAGTGGACACTGGACTCACTGTTTAAAAGGACAAACCAGGACTTGTGTATCCCTCGCCCAGTGGGCCGGTGTCAGCTGATCTCTGCAGGGCGCCCCTGGACCCAGTGCTGCCCTCCTGCGCCCCTGCGCCGTCTCTGGTCCCTCTGAGGCTCAGGGCCCGGGAAGGCAAGTTAGAAACCTGGGCCTGCCCTGCGTCCCCCCCAGGAGGCCAAGCCACGGGCTGTCCGTGGAGGACGAGCTTTGGGACTTTAAAATTGTACCCTATTTTCTGTTCTTAAATGCAGTAACCAATTTAGGCCATGTTTATGGGAGAATCGCTCATTTCCCGGCTCCCCCGCCCCAACATTATATTATGAAAATTTCTAAACTTAGAACCTGAGAGAATTTTGCAGTGAATCCTTATATACTTAGGACCTAGTTTCAACCATTTCGCTGTAGTTACTTAATCACAGATTTATCCATCTGTGCCTCCCTGATAATATGAGTCTGCTTCTCCCTCTCCCTCTCCCTCTGCTCATGCTCTGTCTTTCGCTTTCTCTCTCAAATAAATGAGTAAAGACTTTTTTTTTTTTAAGATTTTACTTATTTATTCATGATAGGCACAGAGAGAGAGAGAGGAGAGAGAGGCAGAGACACAGGCAGAGGGAAAAGCAGGCTCCATGTAGGGAGCCCGATGTGGGACTCAGTCCCAGGACCCCAGGATCATGCCCCGAGTCAAAGGCAGACGCCTAACTGCTGAGCCAACCAGGGATCCCCTAAATGAGTAAGATCTTAAAAATAACAAATAAAAGCAATCAGTGCTTTGAAAGCTTTTGCACTTGCCCTTTGTTCTGAGCAGAGACTGCAAGTCTGTTGACCTAAGCTCTTTCACGCGGGGACTTCCTGACTGCCGCCTTGTTTACGTCTAGGTCCTGGTCCCTGTCGATTTAGGGTTTATTTTGGAGTTTGACTAGGGATGTTGGTAGTCTCTCAGATTTGATTTTCTGGGTGGAAAACACCAGGAGCTGCCGCTTTGTGCCAGTTGTTTCCAGGCTGCCCGAACTTAGAGATGTGACATTTGCCACGTGCCTGTGAGTCTCAAGACAATCCTGGTGTCTGTGGAAATGTCTTTAGGTGCTTCTGTAGCGTGGTTTCTATACGATTCCATTGGTTGGTTGGTGCCCGGGCTGCAATAGTGCAGGCGTGTGCGAGGGTGACTTGGAGCAACTTGGAGATTTCGTGGGCATCTGTAAGGATCCAAGTGTGTCACGTGCTGAATTCCACATTAAACTCAGTGGAGGGAAAGAAAAAAATCACATGTTGCAGGCATGGCCAAGTGCTATTCAGCTGAGGCTTCCAACCATGTCATTTTAGCCCAAAAGAGACTCTTCAAATGTCAGTCATACGAAAATGAGAACATCTGGGGACGTTGTGTTTTCTCCTTCCCACGTGGCTGTCGGAGAGTCACATAGTCAGGTGCTGCACGAGTGGTTTGGCCTGTTTCATGAGGACACTTCAATGTGCGGCTTGTCTGGCACCTCTGTGGCATTTCATGGTCAGCAAAGCTTCACACTGAGATTTTGTTCTATTTTTATTTTTACTTATTTAGTTTTTAAAGATTTTTATTTGTTTGAGAGAGGGGGAGGAAAGAGAGCGCACAAGCGGCAGTGGGGGGTGCAGAGGGAGGGGGAAAAGCAGACTCCCCACCGAGCGGGGATCCTGATGCGGGAGCTGGATCCCAGGACCCCGGATCACTACCTGAGCCAAAGGCAGACGCTCAACTGCTGAGCCACCTGGGTGCCCCTATTTATTTTATTTTATTTTATTTTATTTTATTTTATTTTATTTTATTTTATTTTATTTTATTATTTTATTTTATTTTATTTATTTTTAAAGATTTTATTTATCTATTTGAGAGAGAGAAAGCACAATCCGGGTGAGGGGCAGAGGGAGAAGCAGACTCCCCTCTGAGCAGGGAGCCCGATGCAGGGCTGAATCCTCAGACTCTGGGATCATGACCTGAGCCGAAGGCAGATACTTAACCAACTGAGCCACCCAGGTGCCCAATTTTGTTCTATTTTTAAATAAATGGGCTTTCAAATGGCCTCATTCAAAGGTACCACCAAGGGGCACCTGGGTGGCTCAGTCTGTCAAGTGCCTGCCTTCATCAAGGCATAGGTCTGAGTCACCTTGGGCTCCCCACTCAGCGGGGGGCCTGCTTCTCCCTTTCCCTCTGCCCCTCCCCTCTGTTCATACGTGTTCTCTTTCTCTCTCTTTCTCTCAAATAAATAAATAAAATCTTAAAAAAGGCACCACCAAAAATAAATTCCCTTTCCAGGGAATTTGGGTTGCGGTTTTTGTTTTTTTTTGGTTTTTAAATAACAGCTTAATGTATTTTATTTTGATTAAGAACAGAGTTGCAAAACATTCGGAAAAATACCAAGACCCGGCAAGATCCCTCCCAGCCCCAGCAGCCCTCCCCACTGAGCTCGGCAACCTGCTCAGCACTTAATCTTCGGACACTGGGGCTCTTCCTCTAATCGGGGCCTGACTCACGAGGGCGTGTGACTCACCCCCTTCCCTCCGTGAGGGCTTAGCGTGGTGTCTGCCCGTGGTAGGTGCTGAACAGGGTGGTTGTTAATCTCGTTGTTTTGGCAGCTCCCAAGTGCTTGGTGTTGTCAGCAGCCCAACACTGAGCATCTGCACACACCACCCAAGTGTTCTCTTTGGGTAATTTCTAGAAACGGATTTGGTAGGTGGGAGACAGGACGTGACCTACTTACCCCTGGAGGTGGGCCCGTCTTACATTCCTACCCGCTACGCTTCTCATCCTACACCTTACGTTGTCATGCTGGCTCTCAGTGACTATTTTGACTTTTTTTCGGTAGCTTTTTGATTTTTTTTTTTATAAATTAATTTTTTATTGGTGTAGTTTTTTGATTTTTGTGAAATCAGGCAAAATCATGACTTGCTACACTTGGCATTTCTCTGATCGGTGCTAGTGTTGAATACATTCTCGGGCGTGTTTCTTTGCCCTTTCCCGCTCTTCCCTTTCAGAATGACCGTTTCTGCCCTTTGATTTTCCACAGTTCTGCTTATTTCGTAGAGTGCTCTTACAATTGAAGGATATTAACCCTTGGTTATATGTGTTACAAAGACTTCTCGGTACATTCTCTCCTTAATTTAAGTTTTGTCATACAAGCAGGAACTGGTTTAAGAGGCGTAATATATGTATTTTTGCCACTGAGATTGTATGTTGTTGAACTTACTAGCTCCTCTCTTTACAGTTGTGCGTCCGTGACATCTTCAGAAAGGCGCCTCCACGCCAGGGTGGCATCAGCATTGTGCTATTGTTTCTCCCAGTTGTCTTGTTTCTTTCTTTTTTTTTTTTTTTTTAAAGATTTTATTTATTTATTCATGAGACACAAAGAGAGAGAGAGGCAGAGACACAGGCAGAGGGAGCTGCAGGCCCCACGCAGGGAGCCCGACATGGGACTCGATCCCAGGACTCCAGGATCACACTCTGGGCTGAAGGCGGCGCTAAACCACTGAGCCACCAGGGCTGCCCAGTTGTCTTGTTTCACATGTGTTTTATATCACATGTTTATCTGGAATTAGTGTGTGTCGGGGGGCAAAAAACGAGGTATAGGGCTCTGACTTTTTATTTTCACCAAATGGATAGCCAGTTTCCCCTGGACTATATGTAGTGAAGCCATGTGTGGTGCTGGAGGGTGGCCCCTTCCCTGTGACCCCCCCACGCCCATCTACCCTCCTCCATCCTGCTCTGTGCCAGGGAGGCCACAACAGGCTCCTGCTCTGTGGCTTCCAATGGCCTGTGGCTGACGGGGAGGAGCACTAAGGGGCTAGGAGGTGGGGGAGGTTTGGGTATTTATACCCCAAGCTCCTCGGCTGGCTTCCTTTTGCATTCCTAGAGGGAAGGTCCTGGTGGCTTTGGGGGCCCACCTCAGGTAGCCATCTCTCCAGGGTTTCTTTCTCCCCCCCCCTTTTTTTTTTGATTAAAGATTTTATTTATTTATCATGAGAAGCTCAGAGAGAGAGAGAGAGAGGCAGAGACACAGGCAGAGGGAGAAGCAGGCTCCCCACTGACTAGGGAGCCTGATGCAGGACTTGATCCCAGGACCCCAGGATCACGACCTGAGCTGAAGGCAGATGCTCAATCACTGAGCCACCCGGGTGTCCCTCTCCAGGGTTCCCTGGAGAAGCTCCTTCTCCTTCTTGACCTTTTAGCTCTGGGGTTCTAATGGCCCTGGAGGTTCCACCCCTGTGGTTTCCCTTAACCCTGCCCACCCCACTGTATTAGCCCTTTCCTTAAATTTGCATCGGGCGTGCCATCTGTGGGTGCCACCTTCTTCCTGTCTGGACCTGCTGGGTGCTCCAGCCTTTCCCACTTCTGTGGAACCCTGGCTTTTGTTATACACCAGATTCTTGAACCTACTTCCGCCTGTTTCTGATCCATGCCTGGTTTCATTGTCTATCCATTGCTCACTGTTTAATCCCTGTGTCTTTTATTTATTTATTTTTTTCCCCTGTGTCTTTTAATAGCGCTTAGAGCAAGCCTCCTTTATTACTATGCTTTTCCAAATGTTCTTGGCTTTTTCTCTCCTACGTTTTTTCTTCCATATTTTGTTAAGTTTCCCCAAAATGGTACCTGGGGTTTTGATTGACATTTCGTTAGATTCATAGCGTACTTAGGACAAAATTGTAGTTGTGTAATGTGGCACGTTTTCATCTATGAGCATAATATTTCGAATTGTTGATGTCAACAAATAGCGAGTCTTATGGGGGCAGGGACCATGTTTGTCTTATTTTAAAAAATGATTTAATGCTTGCCATTTGCAACACATGGGTGGATTTGGAGAGAATTATGCTAAGTGAAAAAAGTCAGCCAGAGAAACACAAATACCATATGATTTCACTCATATGTGGAATTTAGGAAACAAAACAAACGAAGAAAGAGAAAAGAGGGGATCCCTGGGTGGCTCAGCGGTTTAGTGCCTGCCTTTGGCCCGGGGTGTGATCCTGGAATCCTGAGACTGAGTCCCACGTCGGGTGCCCTGCATGGAGCCTGCTTCTCCCTCTGCCTGTGTCTCAGTCTGTCTCTCTCTCTCTCTGTGTCTCTCATGAATAAGTAAATAAAATTAAAAAAAAAAAAAAGAGAGAAAAGAGACCAGCAAAAAAACAGACTCTTCACTATAGAGAACAAAAAGGCTGGTTCCCAGAGGGGAGGTGGGTGGGGGCCGGAGGAGACAGGTGAAGGGCATGAAGAGCACACTTATCGTGATGAGCACTGAACAATGTATAGAATTGTTGAATCATTATATTGTGCACCTGAAATTAATGTAATGCTGTAGGTTGACGATACTGGAAATTAAAAAAAAAAAAGGCCTTGATGAATACGTGAAAGAATGAAATAACTTAGGTCTTTCAGTAAAGTTTAATACCTAGCTGCTTAATGAATTTAATTTTTATCTCTGTGAATATTGTACTTTTGTTAAGATATTGGGATTGGGAAGTTATTGTTTCCTTGTTATATTTTTCTAACTGGTTATGGGTTATCTAAGAAGGGAAGAGTATTGATTTATATCTATTAACTTTGTGGCCATTTTACTGAATTCCTATTATTTTAGTAGTCTCTCTTTCTATTTTATTTTAGTAGTTTTTCACTTGACACTCTAGGTTTTGTAAATATGCCATTATTTTGCTAAAAAAAAAATCTGTTATTTCTTCCTTTCTAATATTTGTCTTAATTTGTTGGCTAGAGAATTCTTAGAATTATGTCCTATAAGAGGATTATGTTATATAATCCTTGTCTTATTCTTGATGTTTACAGTAGGCTTCAGGTAAATACTTTTTATCCTACTAAATATATTTGATCTAGCCTAGGAATGCATTTAGAATTTACCAGAAAACTCTTGGACTTTTGTGAGGCTAACGTGAAAGTTTTTTTTTTTTAACTTAAGTATAATTTGTCTCCTAATTTTAAGAACATTTTTGCCAGTGTCCACAGCAGAAGTTGACAGAGCAATATGCTATCCTGAAAAGGATGGAGTCTCTCTCATCCTTGAGTGGTGTCCCCTAACACTGCTTTCAGGGATGTCATCAGAGAAGCCCTAGATGAACTTTGTCCTCCAGATCATTTTTACATAAAATTTTTTTTTAAAGATTTTATTTATTCAGCAGAGACACAGAGAGAGAGAGAGTCAGAGACACAGGCAGAGGGAGAAGCAGGCTCCATGCAGGGAGCCCGATGCAGGATTCGATCCCAGGACCCCGGGATCATGCCCTGAGCCCAAGGCAGATGCTCAACCCCTGAGCCACCCAGGCGTCCCGACATCTGACTCTTGATTTCAGCTCAGGTCCTGGGATCGAGCCCCATGTCAGGCTCCTTATTCAGCAGGGAGTCTGCTGGATTCTCTTCCTCTCCTTCTGCCCCTTTCCCTCCTTGCATGTGTGTGCTCTCGCTTGCTCTCTCTAAAATAAATACATTTTTTTAAAGATTTTATTTATTTATTCATAGAGACACACACAGAGAGAGAGGCAGAGACACAGGCAGAGGGAGAAGCAGGCTCCATGCAAAGAGCCTGACATGGGACTCGATCCAGGGTCTCCAGGATCACACCCTGGGCTGCAGGCAGCGCTAAACCGCTGCGCCACCGGGGCTGCCCTAAAATAAATAAATCTTAAAAAAATTTTTTTTAAAGTCATGTTATAGATTATTTTGTAGCATATGAAAATGTTTGACATGCTGCCAGTGCAAAGAGAAAAGCACAGCCAATTTGTATATTCATTCAACAGAACCTCATTTTTATACGACGAGGGCGTGTGAGCGTGTGTGTGCGTATGTGCATGGAACATACAAAAAGCAGGAGGGGTTTTAGTGTAGAAAGGGTGTGATGAGAATATACGCACCGACACTTGAAAAAACATAGTTGAGCATGTCTGTCCTCAACTTTGCTGCAGCCACGGAGAGCCGGCGCTTACGGCAGATGTTATGCAAGAAGCCATCTCGGTGCCCCTTATGCTATTTTTATTTTTGTGTTTTCCCCATCATCCTTGCTGTCTTCTAGTATATGATATAATTTATTTGTTTGTTTGTTTTGAAAGTTTTATTTATTTGAGAGAGAAAGAGCACAAGCTGGGGTGGAGGGGCAGAGGGAGGGGGAGAAGCAGACTCCCCGCAGAGCAGGGAGCCTGATGTGGGTCTCTATCCCAGGACCCCAAGGTCATGACCTCGGCTGAAGGTGGATGCTTAACCCACTGAGCGCCCAGGTGCCCCTAATTTACTTGTTTGTTGTGCCTGTACTTACTGTCTGTGCCCCCTTGTGAGCATAGATGCTCCATGAGGAAATGTCTTTGCTTTGCTCACCGAGGGGGCCCAGGCACATGAACAGCGCCTGGCATAGAGCAGGTGTGCGCCTGTGGCTGACCCAGCTTGCGGGGTGGTCCTCAGACGCTGGACTGTGGACTCGGTTAGGGGGTCTCTCGGGTGCTTCGTTTGTCGAAGTGCCCAGAGCTGCTCTCACAACGCTCCCCAGCGCAGATCCTGAGGCTCGTAGGCTCCTCACAGGCCCTAGATATGCGATTCCTTTGCCAGGAAGCCCCTGGGCCCAGCTACTGAAGGCAGCCCATAGCATGAACATCGGAGCCCCCGGGTGCCTGGGACGTTTGCCAGAATTGTTCGGCGTACTGTCACTTGCACAGTCGCTTACATGCAGCAAAGACATTGCATTGCATTTATTTTTTTAGTAGTCTCCGTGCCCCATGTAGGGTTTGAACTCACGACCTCGAGATCTTGAGTTGTGTGCTCTACCCACTGAGCCAGCCAGGCGTGCACCACCTCCCCCCCCCCCCCCCCGCATAGACCTTTTAAAACAAAAAAAACAACTTCAACCTTCCTTTTTACCAAAGCGAGAAAAGGAAATCTTTAAAATATACATACAGGGGGATCCCTGGGTGGCTCAGCGGTTCAGCGCCTGCCTTTGGTCCAGGGCACGATCCTGGGGTCCTGGGATCGAGTCCTGCATTGGGCTCCCGGCGTGGAGCCTGCTTCTCCCTCTGCTTGTGTCTCTGCCCCTCTCTCTCTATCATGAATAAATAAATAATATCTTAAAAAAATAAAATAAAATATACATGCAGTTAAGAAAATAAATCCCACCGTCCAGAAAATCAGTGTTGTGTGTGATCTCCTGGTTTTGTGAATTCTACATGTGCTTTTATTTATTTATTTATTTATTTATTTATTTATTTATTTATTTTTATTTTATAATTTTTATTTACTTAGGATAGTCACAGAGAGAGAGAGGCAGAGAGAGAAGCAGGCTCCATGCACCGGGAGCCCGATGTGGGACTCGATCCCGGGTCTCCAGGATCGCGCCCTGGGCCAAAGGCAGGCGCCAAACCGCTGCGCCACCCAGGGATCCCTCTACATGTGTTTTTAAAGCAGGGGGGCACATTAGACATCCTGTTTTATCTGTTTATGGTTTGCAGTGACACCTTACGACATCTCATCTCCCTTTTCTTGCAGGATTTCATCCTGGAACATTACAGCGAGGACAGCTATCTATATGAAGACGAAATAGCGGACCTGATGGATCTGAGACAGGTGCGGTGTTGTGTGCGGCGGGGAGGGTTGCGTCTTCAGAACGTCCTGTTAGGGAATTGGGGGTGGTGGGAGGTGATAGGGAGCTGCTTTAGGAACCATCCCTTCCACCTGGCACGTAAGAAGATGACAGCAAGGGACAGACAGGCTCCCTGGCAGGTCTGGGGTGGATTCTGGGACTCCTGAGCCCACCCTAGCCTCTTCCACCCCTCCTGGGCTCCGCGGACACAGCGTGTGTGACACCTGCCCAGGTGCCGCATCCTCACCTGCTTCCGCCCACCTCGGGGGCTCCTTTCTTCTCCCCAGGCTTGCCGGACACCCAGCCGGGATGAGGCCGGGGTTGAACTGCTCATGAGCTACTTCATCCAGCTGGGATTTGTGGAGAGCCGCTTCTTTCCCCCCACCCGACAGATGGGGATCTTGTTTACCTGGTAGGTGCCCGGGCCTCCGCGGCCGCCCTCCCCCCCCTGGCACCCCGGAGGCCCCCCTGCAACCGCCGCCCCCTCTTGCGGGGGGTCCCATTTCCGCAGGGGAGCCTGGAGACAGGGCGATAAACGGGGCTTAATTTATGAAGGGGACCCAAGCAGACCGGGGCTGCCTGCTTCTCGGAACAAGCGAGCCGAGGAGAAGAGGCGTTTTCTCTGTGCTTGTTTTATTGTTGGGGAAACACGGAGGCTCTGAGGTGGAACTAACAGGAAGCGAGATCCTTCTTCCAGATGGGACAGGGGGTGGGGATCGGGTTTTGTCCCAGTGACAAAGGGAGCGACACAGAAATGGATCAGCTCTTAGAAACCTACGTGGAACGCTCCAGTCTCCTCCAGAGTTGGTATTTTCGAAGGCGAGTGTTGCTTAAATGCTTAAATACTTCGGAGGTGCGGCACCGCTTTCCTGAGTGTGCCCTGCACGGGGGACAGGAGAGTGACCCCCCCGGGGCACGGGGCATATCGGAGCCACGTTGCCCCGCAGCCGGTGGCTAGGGATGCCTCCTTTTGAAAGGACAGGCACCTGAGTTTTGCTGAAGATGCCTTAGCTGCTACTCAGAGCAAAGGGGTACAGGTGGTTTCTCCCCATTGTTGGGTTAGGAAGAAGCAGCTCCACATCCACGTCCTGCTTGATGGGTGGACTTTAAAACAAATCCCGAGTCTTTTAGACTCAAGGAAGAATGATGAGGGGCGTGTAATGCCTCTGTTTCATTTAGGAGACACCCACACACACTTTTTTTTTTTTTAAAGGTTTTATTTATTCATTCATGAGACACAGAGAGAGAGAGGCAGAGACACAGGCAGAGGGAGAAGCCTGACGCAGGACTTGATCCCAGGACCCCAGGATCACGCTCTGGGCCAAAGGCAGGCGCCAAACTGCTGAGCCACCCAGGCTGCCCTACACACAGATTTTTAATATTTTTTAGAGGGAGAGTGGGGTGGGAGGGGCAGAGGGAGAGGGAAAGAGAGAATCTTAGGCAGGCTCCGTGCTTAAGGGGTTCGATCTCACAACCCTGAGATCATGACCCGAGCTGAAACCAAGAGGCAGACGCCTGACTGACTAAAGCCGCCCGGGCGCCCCGAGAGAAGACATATATTTTTAATACACTTTATGTTTTAGAACAGTTTCAGGTTCACAGCAAAGGTGAGAGATTTCCCGTATATCCCCCTACCCTACTCCCCACGTTGTCACCCAGAGGCCATAGTTTACACTGGGGTCCCCTCTTGGGGGGTAGGTGTTCTGTGGGTTTTGACACAACGTGTAAGGACACCTGTCCACGTTATTGGATCATGCAGAGTAGTTTCGCTGCCCCACGACCCTCTGCTCCAGCTGTTCATCCCTCCTCCTCTCCCGCAACCCTGGCAACTACTGACTGTTTTTTTGTCTCCGCTGTTTTGCCTTTTCCAGAATGTCAGATAGTTGGAACCCTCCAGCAGGTAGCCCTTCTCAGATTGGCTTCTTTTCACTTAGAAACCTGCATTCAAGTTTCCTGCATGTCTTCTCTCGCGGCTCATTAACCCATTTTTGTAAAATTGCTAAATGGCGCTCCGCTGCCTGGTTGTGCCACGGTCTATTTATCCGTTCCCCTACGGAAGGACACGTTGGTTGAGAAGCCTTATTTTTGTGTGAGATTGTGGGTACGGTTACTCGGGTGTCACCAGGCCCGTCGTCTTGCTCGGAAACGAAAGCTTCATCGCATGTGCATCTGTGAATTTCATTCAAGAAATAGATTTTGCCCGGTTTCACCGCAGAGCGGCGTAGAAAGCCAAATAATCCGTATTCTCACAACCCGTTTCTTTTAAATTAGGTATGACTCCCTCACCGGGGTCCCGGTGAGCCAGCAGAACTTGCTGCTGGAGAAGGCCAGCATTCTGTTCAACATCGGAGCCCTCTACACACAGATCGGGACCCGGTGCAATCGGCGGACCCAAGCTGGGCTGGACGGTGCCGTGGACGCCTTTCAGAGAGCCGCAGGTGGGTGTCCGGGAGGGCTGCCGGGTTAGAGCCCTGGCCCCCCCGGGTGGCCCTGGGTACCGCAGCCGAAGACGGTCTGTGGGCCTTCCCCAGGCCCGGGCTCGGGCTCGCAGGCCTGTAAGGGCCAGGCGGGTTTCTGGTGCTCGTGTGTCTTCCTACCGAGGAGAATTGCGTAATGGCTCAAGCCCTGACGCCTCAGTCTGGGTATGGCTCACGTACACAGGGAATCCTGTGGTTAACGATTTATCTTTTTTTTTTTTTTTTAAAGATTTTATTTGTTTATTCACGAGAGACACAGGAGAAGCAGGCTCCATGCAGGGAGCCCGATGTGGGACTTGAACCCAGGACCCCAGGATCACGCCCTGGGCGGAAGGCAGACGCTCAACCACTGAGCCACCCGGGGGCCCCAGCACCCGTCCCGATGCCTCCGCTGTGGGGAGTCACTCCCAGCAGGGAGCTTCTGGGGTGTCTCGCTTTGCTCTGCAAGGCCGTCAAGAACCGTAGCTCTGTCGTTTTGGCTGATGGGGAAGTTGCTGGTGTTAAAAAGACTGAGATTCCGTGTGGGAGTGGATTTTGTTCGCTGCCAGTCCTTCCGGGGGCTCGTTTTCTCTCTGAGGAATCTAAAGCAGGTGTGCGTGGTGACCCATCTCTAAGACTACAGCGGTGTAGACAACGGGAAGCTTCAGGACGGGGGAGCAGACCCCAGCAGGGAGCAGATAGCCCGCAGCCACTGCCATCTCTCTGCGGGGCAGTGTCTGCTTTGCAACAAAACCAGAGGAACCAGTCCGATGGGATTCATGTCAGAGATTTTATTTCAGCCTCCGGTGGATCGCCGGTTAGTGCTGTGACAGTTAATTTTCTAACATGTAAGAAAAGCCAGCTAAGGGCGACAGCAGGAAAATTTCCACTGGTCTTTCCTGAGGTCCTGGGAAAAGCCCCGGGTCTCATCACGACCCGGTGTTACGTGCGAGCACGTCCCCCGGAGGGCCCTCCTGCCCTCCTGCCCTCCTGCCTGCTTTCTGCTTTCACCCCCCCGTTAGAGGCCTGGTCGTGTACGGAATGTCTTACCGTCGTCCCAGGCGGAGTGGGAATAAACAGGGGGCAGGCTGGTTTCCTCGCTTGATACGGACGTACGTGTTTTAGAACAGAATCTGATTTTTTTTTTTTTTTTTACTAAGACATACAGATGAATGCGACCGTTTGTAACCAATTTCAAGCATTCAGTTCACTGGCATGGAGTACGTTCATGTCATTGTGCAACTCTCTATGGCCACAGCTTTGTCATGTGCCCCAGGCCGAAAGTCTGGGGGCGCCCAGGTGGCTCCGACAGTTGGACGTCCAGCTCTTGGGTCGGCTCAGGTCCTGATCTCAGGGTCACGGGATCAAGCCCCGTCTCGGGTTCCGTGCTCAGCGTGGAGTCTGCTTGAGGTTCTCTCTCCCTCGGCTCCTCCCCTTGCCCGGGCACGTGCTCTTTCTCTCTCTCTCTCTCTCTCTCTCTCTCTCTCTCTCACTCTCTCAATAAATAAGTGTAATCTTCAAGCTGAAATTCTGGGGATGCCCGGGTGGCTCAGCGGTTTGGTGCCTGCCTTCAGCCCAGGGCATGATCCTGGGGTCCCGGGATCGAGTCCCACGTCGGGCTCCCTGCGTGGAGCCTGCTGCTTTTTCTGCCCCTCTCTCTGTATCTTTCATTACTAAATAAATAAAATCTTAAAAAAAAAAAAAAACCCAAAAAACTGAAACTCTGTACCCATTAGACACTAGTCCCTGGCAACCACCATGCTACTTTCTCTCCCTGAACTTGACTCTTCCGGATGCCCCATCTCACGGAATCCTAAGCTCTTTGCCCACGTGACTGGTTTATTTCACTCAGTGTCACGTCTGCGTCCACGTTGTGCCATGTGCCACGTACCTTCCTCCTCAGGGCTGAAAACCGTTCCGTTGTATGAAGGAACGCACCACATTTTGTTGAACCGTATGGCGATGGACGTTCGGGTGGGTGTCTACCTTTCAGCTGTTGTGACTGATGCTGGTGCGAGTGTGGGTGTAGGAGAGGTATCGGTTTGCCTCGGTTTCCATCTGCTTCTGATTCTTTAGGGTGCACACCTGGGAATGGAATTGCTGGATCTTATGGTAACAGAACCAGATTTTTCCCAGTGCTCCTGAACGCCGGTTCTTTATTTTTGCTTCTCCCCTTCTCTGTGCTTCGGGACGGCGTACGGTGGAATCAGTAGGATCCCCCGGCTAACATGCGAAAAAATTTCCCATCGTAGGGGTTTTACATCACCTGAAAGAGACGTTCACTCACACTCCGAGTTACGACATGAGCCCTGCCATGCTCAGCGTGCTGGTCAAGATGATGCTTGCACAAGCCCAGGAGAACGTGTTTGAGAAAATCTGCCTTCCTGGCATCCGGAATGAGTTCTTCGTGCTGGTGAAGGTGGCTCAGGAGGCTGCCAAGGTAAAGCCCTCCTGGCTCCCGTGACTTTTGGGGTGGGGGGGGTGGATGGGTTGATGTGGGCCCCCTGGAAGCGGTGGGGGGGCCTCCCACGGCAGCTTGCCCGTGACCTGGGCAGCGTGCCCGCCCTGGACAGAGCGCTGGCTTGCATTTTCTTGGCAAGTCGCGGTGGTTCAGCTACGGATCACTGGTTCCATCTGCAGCTTAGCCTCCAAAGCAGCCTAATGACAGTTTCCTCATCTCCCTGTTCACTGTGACGCTGAAAGACCTGGGAACCCTTGGAGCCGCTCCCAGGCCCTGGAGCAGCTTCTGGCAGGGCCGGGCCAGAGAAGAAAGGTCTCTTTTTTCTGCAGCCTGGGTGCGTGAGCGCCCCTGGGCCGGGCTCCCCCTTCCCAGCGTCCCTTCCGTTTCAGGTGGGGGAGGTGTATCGGCAGCTGCACATGGCCATGAGCCAGGCCCCGGTGAAGGAGAACATCCCCTACTCCTGGGCCAGCCTGGTCTGCGTGAAGGCCCACCACTACGCGGCCCTGGCCCACTACTTCGCAGCCACCCTTCTCATCGACCACCAGTGTAAGGCTCTGGGCTCGGGTCAGGGTTGTGCTTCCAGGACATTCTGCACTGAGTGAGAGCTGTCTGCCTGCCCCGGAGATGCCCACAGCCTGGGGCAGGGGGTGCAGCGTGGGATTTGGGGGTGATACGTTCCCACTCTGTTATCCTCCTGGCTGGGATGGAGCAGACCGCTCCGAGGAGATGACGTCTCCCCTGGAGTTGAGGCCAGGGCTGGGACCAGGGCGGGCCCCCGTGAGGCCCTCACCTAGGCACCGAGTCTCAGGGGGGGGGCCCCCAAACTCAGTATTCAGGATAACGTTTGGAGGTGATATGTTAAATGAATCAAATCTCATGGCTCCGTCCCCCTCCAAAATCCATGGTGATCCAATTTTTTTTTTTGTTTTTAAAGATTTTATTTATTTATTCATGAGAGACACAGAGAGAGGGAGAGAAGGCAGGGACACAGGCAGAGGAAGAAGCAGGCTCCATGCAGGGAGCCCAATGCGGGACTTGATCCCAAGTCTCCAGGATCACGCCCTGGGCTGAAGGCAGGCGCTAAACCGCCGAGCCACCGAGGGATCCCCAATGACCCAGATTTTTATTTTTATTTATTTATTTATTTTAATTTTTAATTTATTCATGATAGACATAGAGAGAGAGAGAGGCAGAGACACAGGCAGAGAGGGAGAAGCAGGCTCCATGCAGGGAGCCCGACGCGGGACTTGATCCTGGGTCTCCAGGATCGCGCCTTGGGCCAAAGGCAGGCGCTAAACCTCTGAGCCACCCAGGGATCCCCTGATCAAGATTTTGAAATAAAGACGACAGATCACTAACGAGGCTGTGCTGACCCACGTCGGAGCCCGAGGCAAAGAGGAATTTTGATGTTTATTCATCGTGCACTTCTTAGCGTCCTTTTTTGGCACCTAGGAAATGGTATGAAACTGTCACGTATCCTGACTGCCGAGTTTTGGTGCCTTCTAAAATTTTCAGCTCGAGATCAATGTCTTGCTCTCCTCGCCCTGGTTGTGGCTCTGATCTGACGTCGGGGTGGGGGCGGGGGGACCTCTTGTAATTAGTTCTAATCAAGGTTGCCCCAGAGCAACGAAACGGGTGAACTCTGGAGCCACACTCCGGGTTCGTAGCACGGCTCTGCCATTTACCAGCTGTGAGATCTGGGCCTCCGTTTTCACATCTGTAAAATGGGGGCATGAGGAAATCCTTTCTCACAGGGGCTGTTGTGAAACTTATGTGCCTGTGTGCAGAGCTAAATAAATAGCACCTTGTAGCTAGTGGGCTCCCGGGAAGTGGTGCTGCTGCTGCTGCTGCTGCTGCAGGGATTCCTGGAGGGTCTGTTGGAGGGGGCGAGCCATGTAGACCAACAGCAGCGCAGCACTCCGGCACTTGCGGTAGCAGGACAAATGGGGCAGCAGTTGGACTCCTGGTGTAGTCACGGAAGGCTTCTCAGAGGTGGTGACATTGGGGTTGGACCTTGAAGTCCGAGGGGCACTTTTGCAGCGAACCAGGAGGGAAGGGACGGCCAGAGCATGAACCCCCAGCCGAGCTCTGGAACGGAGGCTGGAAGTGTTGAGGTGGCTGGAGACGGGGGCGCGTGCCGGGGGGGGGTTGCTGGGAGGGTCCATGAGGTGGGTGAGTTTGGCTCTGAGCCCTGGAGGGCGCCTGGCCCCAGATAGGTGAGGACTTGCGAGCTGGGGGGCCAGGGGTGCGTCCAGGGGCAGCAGGGAGCCCTAGGACCATCCCAAGTGCCCGACTGCATTAGAGAAGGCAGGAAGTGGGGCGCGGCTGGGAGACACCTGTGCAGGGGCGCACGCACCAGGAGGGGCCTGCCCGTGGCTCTCGTTGCAGTGAAGCCTGGCGCAGATGAGGACCATCAGGAGAAGTGCCTGTCCCAGCTCTACGACCACATGCCAGAGGGACTGACGCCCTTGGCCACGCTCAAGAGCGGCCACCAGCGCCGACAGCTGGGTACGTGGCGGCTGTCCCGCCTCCTCCCTCGGCAGCCCCCCACCCAGTTTGATGCCCAGTGGGTTCTGCTCACCAACCGCTCCAGACAGGTCCCCAGGGCAGGGCTCAGAGAGCAGGGTGTCCTGGGTCATCAGGGCCACTCGGGTGCGGTCTGCAGCCTCAGTGGCTCGTGGGGCTGCGAGGGCCCAGGCCTCCCCAGGTGCAGCCAGAGCTCTGACCACCCTGCCACGCCCTCGCCGTCTGGGGGGCGGGCAGGTGGGGGGGTGGCCCCTGGTCCCCCGAGTGTAGGACAGCACATTTGTCAATTTTCTGCTCTCCCATCTAAGAACCGGTAAGGAGAGGTCATGGGATGGTCTCTGCGGGGTGTCAGGGAGGATGCCTGAGTTCCTCTGCTCCCCACCCCCCCCACCCCCCCTGCCCTGCAGATGCACTTCCCCGCTCCCTGCCGGCAGCTCCGGCCTTCCAGATGCACAGGCCAGGAAGCCGGGACTCCCCTTTTGCCTTCTTTCTCACCCCACATGTGGTCAGCAAACCCCCCTGAGGCTGCCTAGTCCAAGCCACATGCACGTGGGGCTCGTTAACATGCACCGACTCCCCCGAGTCTCCCGCAGCCCTGTTGGGCACGTGTAGCATGATCCCCGTTTTGCAGTAAATGAACCAGGGGACCAAAGAGGTCACGTGGCCCATAACTGGTCCCCGTGCTTTTTCCTCCTCACTCCAGACTCCGTTCATGTGGGTCACGTCACATGAGCCTTCTGCTCACACCCTAACGGGCTCCCATCTCACCCAGAGTACGGACGGGAGCCCTCACCCTGCACTTCTAAGGCTGGACACGTGTGACCCCTCTCCTCTCGGCCTCATCCCCTTCCTTTCGCCCCGGCCTCACTGCCTCCAGCCACAGCCCCAAGCTCACCCTTGAATACACAGTCACCCTCCTGCCCCAGGGCCTTTGCACTTGCTTTTCCTTCTTCCAGAAGTGCCCTTCTGTAAGATAATCCTCAAGGCTGCTTCCCTGGCCTCCTTCAGGGCTCTGCTCAGAAGTCACCTTCCCAAAGGCCTTCCCGGGTCACCCATCACAGAAGAGTGACTCTGTTCCCACTCCTGTTGTGCTAGATTGGCTCCCTGCCCTGCTTTTTTTTTTCCATCATCTTATCACTGCATGATCCATTCCCTGTTTCTTATTCTTTTTTTTTTTTTTTTAATATTTTGTCTATTCATTCACGAGAGACAGAGAGGCAGGCTCCATGCAGGGAGCCCGATGCGGGACTCAATCCCGGGACCCCAGGGTCATGAACGTGTTCTAGACCCGAGGGAGCGTGTCTGGCACGTGTATTTAAGAGGGCCTTAGGCTGTCCAGGCCGATCCTTCAGAAAAGAGCAGGCCACTTTCCTGGGCTGGTGCTTGGGCACTTTGGCTCCCCCGGAGGGCCTGACGCGGCCCCTGGGGCCCAGCCTCACGTGGGGTTGGCTTCCACCCGCAGGCAAGTCCCACCTGCGCAGAGCCGTGGCCCACCACGAGGAGTCGGTGAGGGAGGCCAGCCTGTGCAAGAAGCTCCGCAACATCGAGGTGCTCCAGGACGTGCTGTCCGTGGCGCACGAGCGGTCCCGCCTCAAGTACGCGCAGCACCAGGACGACGACGATCTGCTCAACTTGATCGACGCTCCCGACATTATCTGTGAGTGATGTGGGGGCCTGTGCGGGGTGCAGGGGGCGCCCCGTGATCTGCTCGTCCCGGGGGCCCAGGGCAGACCTCCTCCTGCCCTGTTTGCTCACGGTGCAGGGGCTGCCTTACTCGGTGACCCTGGGGTAGCCTGGGGCGTGCAGGGTGTCAGGGTGCCCGGCCACCTTCTTTCTGTTCCCACCTCCCTCACCTCCGCTTTGCCACCTCGTCGTGCCCTTTCCGGGGGTCTGCTCGCTGCCTTGCCCCCTCTGTGTGCCTTGCTTGAGAGCCTTGTAACGTCCCGGGGTTCCAGCTGTCACCTCTCCCTGGGAGACCTCAGCAGCCCTTGATGCCTGCGCTGCGCCCCGGAGTCCATCTGCCTTCTGGGCACACTCGTTTCCCTCTGGCTCCGTGGTTTTACGTACACGTGCTTGAGCATTGGTCAAGCATTTCTAAGCATTTCCACGACTGATTACCATCCCGGGTTCAAAAAGGTGGCAGTGAACTGGGCAGTTGTTGGTGCCCTTGGGGACGAGGCTGTCCCTTCTGCCCCAGGAGGCAGGAGTTGGGGCACCTCTCGGACAGGTGGCTTTAGGGGTAAGGAGTGACTAGGATCTTTCAAGGAGGTGGGGGAGGGGGATGGAGAGGGGCCCAGTTAAGGGAAGCCCTTTTGTCCCTATAGCCCTTCGACCCCAGTTCCTACACTTCTGTCTCCAGTCTCTGAAGTTGTAGCTCAATTTCCAGGAGCCCTGGGCTTGTCTGTGCTAACGCCACCTGCTGTCGCCTGGGCGGTGGAGGTCTGCGGGGCACAACTCTCCTTCCCCTCTCCCTCCAACTCCATATGGGGGCGCTGGTATTGCCTTCATCTTACTTAGGGCTTAGGGCAGTCCGACTCTTTGCCCCAGGTGACCAAGCTGGTAGGTGGAGGCAGGAATGGCACTCCATGATTCTCCTTCACCGACACTGGCCCCCTCCCCTCCTTGGCCCCTTTGTCCACACGGTGTGCTCTGTGGCCACGAGGTAGAGACATGACCTCCGAGGACGGAGGAGGGGACAGGGCTGCTGGCGAGGCTGTCCGGGGATGCTGGTGCCACACTGGTAGTGGATGAGCACCGTGCTTGAGCCCAACACTGTCCCATCCTGTGAGTAGACGGGTGTGTTCTTCCTTGACAGGGCCAGGCTCCTTCTTATACTGATCTTCATGTATACTTAGCCTGCTCTGGGATCCTTTTTGGGCACTGACTAGTCTCGTGGTAAGAGTTGGCTTGAGCCTCCCGTCAGTAGGATGGTAAAGATTTAAGCCGTCAGTGGACACAACGTGACAAACTGACATCCCACTAAAATCCTCACACCGCATGTTAATGATGAAGAGGGAGGGAGCTCATCTCCCCCAGGACTACGTGCCGAGAGACGCTGCATCCCTCTTTAGTAGCCACAGTTGAAACGTATGTTACTTCTCAGGTTTCGTGAAGGCTAAGGGCAGTCCCCTAGATTATAATACATAAGCTCCGTGCAGGCAGGGGGTGTGTCTGATTGTCACCACTCTGTCCCAGCCCCAGAGCAAGGTGTGGCTCCTAGTAGGTACTCAGATGGAAGGTACAGGGGCCACGGGGCTGGGGGCTGGCCAGCGGCCCATCTTCTCTACTACTTGTCTAGACCAAGAAGGAAGGCCAAGTGACTAGGAGAAAGGCCTCCGCTGCTCTTCCCTTCAGAGAGAAGACTTAGACCTGACTTGTCCAGGAGAACTTTGAATTGCCGAAGCACTTACGCTTTCTCTTTTAATATGCTTTTCCAGCTAAAACTGAGCAAGAGGTTGAAATTATATTGCCACAGTTCTCCAAGGTGACAGCAACGGACTTCTTCCAGAAGCTGGTATGTTGAATGCTTATTTCATAATGACCCAAGGGGACAGCTCATATAAGTTGCAAGCATGCAAAAGACTATTTTTAGTGTGTGTTTTTTTTTTTTTTTAAGTAGACTCCATGCCCAGTGTGGAGCCCAACACAGGGCTTGAACTCATGATTCTGAGATCAAGACCTGAGCCGAGATCAAGAGTCGGATACTTAACTAACTGAGCCACCCAGGCGCCCCAGTAATGTTAGATTTTTTTTTTTAATTAGAAACTTTATACAGTTTTCATTAAGGTGGTTTTTAGAGATTTTGATTTATTTGAGATTTGAGAGCATGCACGGACGGGAGCAGGGGGGTGAGGAGCAGAGGGAGGGGGACAAGCAGACTCGGGCTGGGTGCGGAGCCCGACGTGGGGCTCGGTGTCACCACCCTGAGATCATGACCTGAGCTGAAATCAAGAGTCGGATGCTCAACCAACTGAGCCACCCAGGTGCCCCTGAGATGATTTTTTTTTTTTTGTAAAGAACATATTCTCTAAAACATGGATGTTTTAGAGAAAAGGACAGTTAATGTCCTGCATGACTGTCGTAGCACGTGTTCTCTCTGGTGGTGTCACTGGTCTCTGAGCAAGGCCGAGCGACATCTGCAAGGACAACAAGGTGACATTTCCCTGTAGCTTTCAGGTGCCTGATTCAGCCTTCAGATCCTACCCCTAACGATGCTCTGTTCCAAAGGGCCCCCTGTCGGTGTTTTCGGCTAACAAGAGATGGACACCTCCTCGAAGCGTTCACTTCACTGCAGAAGAAGGGGATCTGGGGTTCACCTTGAGAGGAAACTCCCCAGTTCAAGTCCATTTCCTGGATCCTCACTGCTCTGCTGCGGTAAGTGTGCGCCTCTAGTCCGGCGCAGCGCTCACTGGTGTCTTTGCAAGCAGTCAGACCGGTCAAATACAAAGAAAGCTGCCCCAACCAATACATCTGGGTGTAAGAATGAGCTTAGGGTTCCCTTTGTAAGAGGTCTGACGACGTGAAAGGCTCCTCACGGGTGCTACTGCCCGAGGAGCCAAGGCTGCATGCGTGCGGTCTCTTCTGTGGATGTACTTGGGAGCTGGTGCGGGGATTGGAGTGGCCGGAGCGCTTACCTTCCTGTAAATCCTACCTTCGTAGCTGGCGGGAGCCAAGGAAGGGGATTATATTGTTTCCATTCAAGACGTGGATTGCAAGTGGCTGACGGTGAGCGAGGTCATGAAGCTGCTGAAGGCCTGTGGCAGGGACGGCGTGGAGATGAAGGTCGTGAGCCTCCTGGACTTCACCTCGTCCATGGTGAGTGCTGACAGCCCGACAGTAAGCTGCAGGGTGGAGTGAGGCTGGCGCGCCTCCAGCCCCAGGGCTGTTCTGGGCCCTGCGCCTCCTGCCTATGTCGGTGACATGCCACAGACGACTGGCCTCGGGAGCTTGTCCTCGTGGGGATGTGCTCACCTTGGGCCAGATAGATCCTGGGAAAACTTGGTAAAACAAAACAAAACAAAACACGATGTAGATGAAAGAGCCAATTGATTTATTTTTCTGATTAGTTTTTTTTTTTAAGATTTATATATTTATTTGAGAGAGACAGAGAGTGCGTGCGAGCAGCAGAGGGAGAGGGAGAGAATCTCCAGCCGACTCCCCACCCAGCGTGGAGCCCGACAGTGGGGCTTGATCTCACGACCCTGAGATCATGACCTCAGCCAAAACCGGGAGTCAGACGCTTATCTGACTGAGCTATCTAGGCGCTGCCTGATTAAGTCCCTTTTTTTTTTTTTTTTAAGATTTTATTTATTCATGAGAAGCCCAGAAAGAGAGGCAGAGACACAGGCAGAGGGAGAAACAGGTTCCCCGTGGGGAGTCCGATGCGGGAGTTGATCCCAGGACCCCAGGACCATTACCATGACCTGAGTTGAAGGCAGATGCTCAACCATGGAGCCACCCAGGAGCCCCTCAGAAGGGGAATGATTATTTCAGGACCTCTTGTTTACTGGAGGCTGGCTAGGTGGTGGCAGCGTGACCTGCCTATAGCAGGTGTCAGGGCTGGTGACGTTAGCAGCTTACATTAGGGTGGGTGCCGGCGGAGGTGGAGAGAGGTGCACGTACCTGAGACGTATTTTTGGAGGTGGAGCTGACAGGGGCCTGTAGATGGCCTGCGTAAAACACATTGTGGAGGGAAAAATGACTCCTCAGGTTTGAGCTTGAACAAAGGCACCATTTTTTTTTTAAATTGGGGTTCAATTTGCCAACATACAGTATAACACCCAGTGCTCATCCTGTCAAGTGCCCCCTCAGTGCCCGTCACCCAGTCACCCCCACCCCCTGCCCACCTCCCCTTCCACTACCCCTTGTTCGTTTCCCAGAGTTAGGAGTCTCTCATGTTTTGTCCCCCTCACTGATATTTTCACTCATTTTCTCTCCTTTCCTCTCTATTCCCTTTCACTATTATTTATATTCCCCAAATGAATGAGAACATACACTGTTTGTCCTTCTCCGGTTGACTTACTTCACTCAGCATAATACCCTCCAGTTCCATCCACGTTGAAGCAAATGGTGGGTATTTGTCGTTTCTAATGGCTGAGTAGTATTCCATTGTATACATAAACCACATCTTCTTTATCCATTCATCTTTCGATGGACACCGAGGCTCCTTCCACAGTTTGGCTATTGTGGACATGGCTGCTAGAAACATCGGGGTGCAGGTGTCCCGGCGTTTCATTGCATCTGAATCTTTGGGGTAAATCCCTAACAGTGCAATTGCTGGGTCGTAGGGCAGGTCTATTTTTAACTCTTTGAGGAACCTCCACACAGTTTTCCAGAGCGGCTGCACCAGTTCACATTCCCACCAACAGTGCAAGAGGCTTCCCCTTTATCCACATCCTCTCCAACATTTGTGGTTTCCTGCCTTGTTAATTTTCCCCATTCTCACTGGTGTGAGGTGGGATCTCATTGTGGTTTTGATTTGTATTTCCCTGATGGCAAGTGATGCAGAGCATTTTCTCATGTGCGTGTTGGCCATGTCTAGTGTCTTCCTCTGTGAGATTTCTCTTCATGTCTTCTGCCCATTTCATGATTGGATTGTTTGTTTCTTTGCTGTTGAGTTTAATAAGTTCTTTATAGATCTTGGATACTAGCCCTTTATCTGATAGGTCATTTGCAATCTCTTCTCCCATTCTGTAGGTTGTCTTTGAGTTTTGTTGACTGTTTCTTTTGCTGTGCAGAAGCTTTTTATCTTGATGAAGTCCCAATAGTTCATTTTTGCTTTTGTTTCCCTTGCCTTTATGGTGTATCTTGCAAGAAGTTGCTGTGGCCAAGTTCAAAAGGATGTTGCCTGTATTCTCTTCTAGGATTCTGATGGACTCTTGTCTCACATTTAGATCTTTCATCCATTTTGAGTTTATCTTTGTGTCTGGTGTATATGGTCCAGTTTCGTTCTTCTGCATGTGGCTGTCCAATGTTCCCAGCACCATATATTGAAGAGACTGTCCTTTTTCCAGCGGATGGTCTTTCCTGCTTTGTTGAATATTAGTTGACCATTGAGTTGAGGGTCCGCTTCTGGATTCTCTATTCTGTTCCATTGATCTATGTGTCTGTTTTTGCAAAGGCACCATTTTTCATAACGATGGGGAAGGGGGGGCCAAAGGTGAGGCGGGGAGAGGAGAGAGGATGCGGAGCTGTACCATGAATGTTTCGTGTGACGTTAGACGCCCAAATGTAATGTGAAGTGGGCACTGGATGTCACATCCTCAGTTCAAGGGAGAAGTCAGAGCTAGAATTAAACAGCTGAGAATCACCAACATAGCGATGATATTTAAAGGTGTGAAGCGAGTACCTGGAATTACCCCCGAGGGGCTGAGAGTCGAGGACTCGACCTTGAGACAGCACAAGCATCTGGAAGGTCAGAAGTAGGCACCAAGGAAGTTGGAAGGGGGAAGAGACGTGGGACAAAAAGAAGCTTCTGGAATCGAGAGAGGGAAATCCTGCCAAGAGAAAGTACTTGGTTGTGTAGAGTACAGTTACGAGGTGGAGCTGTGTTTATTATATTTGGCAGCAGGACAAGAGGACACTTTTCATGGAGAGATGGAAACAGAACTCTGATTAGAGAGGGCTGGAGGGTGAATGGGTCATGTGATTCCTTGGTCAGAAATGTCCAGAACAGGCTAATCTGTAGAAACATCATGTAGAGCAGTGGTTGCCAGGGGCTGAGGTGTCAGGCAACGGGGAGAAACATTCTGAAGTTAGGTGGTGGTAGTTGCGCAATCCCGAATATACCCAAAACCGTGGGGTGGTGCTGAAGTGGTGAATTTTAAGGCACATGCATTATATCTCCGTTTGGAAATTAAAGAAGATGAAGTCGGGCTCACGGAGCCTCTTGGGAGAAGGGATCGTGAGAAACAGAATTTTTAGGGGGAGAATCCATAGAAGCACAGGGCAAAGGGATCAGGGTCTCAACCAGAAACAAAAGGTCGTCCAAAAGGAGGATAAATAAAAGAGCTGGGCTCCGGGGCGCCTGGGTGGCTCAGTAGGTTAAGCGTCTGCCTTTGGCTCAGGTCATGACCTCGGGGTGCTGGGGTCGAGCCCTGCGTCAGGTTCCCTGCTCAGCGGGCAGCCTGCTTTGCCCTGGCCCTCCGCCTCTCCTCCTTGCTCATGCTCTCCCTGTCTCTTTCTCTCAAATAAATAACTAAAACCTTAAAAAAAATTTTTTTTAATTAAAAAAAAAAGTGTTAGAGCTGGGAGGGGGCCATAGGGAAAAGGGAAGCTTTTCAAGAGTGGAGGTGGGTAGTGGTGGTGGGGGTCTGTGTGTGTCTAGATCACGCAGGAAGCTTGTGTGCTGATGGGAAAGGTCGGGGAGGCAGGAGTGCAGGGAGGAGGGGGGCATACCAGGAGGAGGGAGTGAGAGCCAGACACACGGACAGATGCTGCTGAGCATAAGGCAGTACCATCAGGAGGACGTGTGCGGGGCTTCCAGAGACAGCGGGGAGAGAACGAGTCCATTTACTAGGGTAATGTAATGAGGTGCCCAGTAGAGCTTTGGGGTCGGGGTTAGCGTTTTCAAGGGAAGCCAGGCAGCTTGGCAAATATCCCCCAGTTAACGTGCAGGCGTTTGGGTGCAGGCCTGGGGGGCGGCAGAGGGTGGGGTTTAACTCCACTTGGCATGTGCTGGTTGAAGCGTGGGAGAGGATCGAGGGTATTAGTAAGGGAACGGTCCTAAAGACGCATGATGGACTTTAAGCCGGTTAAGGTAAAGGCAAGAAAAATGTCTGTAGGCATGAAATCTACGTCCAGGAGTATTTATTCTTTTTAACGGAAGTGCGTGGTCTTGTAGAACGCGGTGGGGGTAAATGGCAGTGCCATCGAAGAGGGCGAGGCATCGTCATCCCGAGGAGCCGGGCTCCCCAGGGACAATTGAGAGTGAATACCGCTTTCTTTATTGTCCCGTCCCTCACATTCCTTGATTTCTATCACAAACGGTGCACCCACCACTTTAGATATGTGGTACGTATGTCGAAAGGCCTGATTTCGGTGCCTGGAGCCGAATAGATGTTCAGTGAACAACTGGCGAACAAAGCAACTTCAGTGTTCGGCAAACCTTAGAGGCAGGTGACAACCCACACAGACAGAAAACAAGTATTTGCAGGCTTCCCATTTGAACCCTACACAGTCCTTTAAAACTTAACAGTAGTACTTTCTGGACACAGAGTTTCAGCTGTGGAAGATGAAGATTCTGGAGACGGGTGGTGCTGACGGCGTAAGTGTGAATGTACTTAATGCCACTGAACTGTACCCTTGTCTTTTTTTTTTTTAAGATTTTATTTATTTATTCATGAGAGACAATGAGAGAGAGACAGAGACACAGGCAGAGGGAGAAGCAGGCTCCACACAGGGAGCCCGATGTGGGACTCAATCCCGGATCCCGGGACCACGCCCTGAGCCAAAGGCAGACACCCAACCGCTGAGCTACCCAGGTGTCCCTGAACTGTACCCTTGTCAAATGGTGAAAAGGGTCTATTTATGTTATATACGTATTTCATCATTTTATAAGATAGGGAAAAAGAGGTTAAATAGTATCCTCACCACGGATTCTAGATTGTCTGTAGACAATGAAGTTGATCTATACCTACTGGCTTGGACAGTTAACCGAAGAAACTGAGGCAGACCAGTGTGTAGTATATTCCTTTTAGGGAAAGACAACTGGTGACGTGTACTTACCCAGACATCAATACCTATATGGGAACATGATTCCTAAGAGTGTAACAGAAATCATGGTTACTTCAGGGGAAAGACCTTGGAAGCCAAGGTGCCAGGGACGCCTACCGTTCAGGATATGTATTTTCATATTGTTGACCAGGAGTAGTACCTTTCCAAATAGACTAAGAACCTTAAAAAAGCAAGTAGTCGTCCCTAGTCTAAATTGCTACTGACTCTATTTCTTAAACTTCATCCTTTTTTTTTTTTTTTTTTTTTATAGATCTTATTTATTCATGAGAGAGGCCGAGACACAGGCGAGGGAGAACCAGGCTCCATGCAGGGAGCTGGACGTGGGACTCGATCTCGGGACTCCAGGATCGCGCCCTGGGCCAAAGGCGGCGCTAAACCGCTGAGCCACCCGGGCTGCCCCCAAATCATCCTTGTTTTTGAGAATCTAGTTCTATGGGGGCACCTGGGTGGCTCAGCAGTTGAGCATCTGCCTTGGGCTCAGGGCGTGATCCCGGGATCGAGTCCCGCATCGGGCTCCCCGCAGGGAGCCTGCTTCTCCCTCTGCCTGTGTCTCTGCCTCTCTGCCTCTCATGAATAAATAAAATCTTTAAGAAATAACTTGATTCTACGTACGCATTAACGTGAGCCTCCGGCTTTGCAGTCATCTGCCGGCTGTCCAGAGGACGTCTAACACCCCCTTTCTTCTTTCCCACGTGCAGCATAATAAGTGCGCGACCTACTCTGTGGGAATGCAGAAAACCTACTCCATGATCTGCTTAGCCATCGATGATGATGACAAAACCGACAAAACCAAGAAAATCTCGAAGAAGCTTTCTTTTTTGAGCTGGGGCACCGACAAGAACAGAGTGAAGTCGGCCAGCACCTTGTGCCTCCCGTCGGTTGGGGTGGCGAGGCCTCAGGTCAAGAAGAAGCTCCCTTCCCCCTTCAGCCTTCTCAACTCCGACAGTTCTTTGTACTGACGCGAGGAAACAGAAAACCTTCAGGCCCCAGACGTCTCGGGTGCTGACCAGGCCTTCGCATCTGTGCCACAGTGGAAAGATTCCCAAACATTCGCAAATCCCATCTTCTCACTGGGTTAAACTCACGATCGGTAGGGCTTCACGAAGGAAAGTAACGAGAAACCTCGAGAAGCTTGGGGAGTGTCACCATAGTGCTGCCAAGTTATTTATTATATAAAGTATTGTAAATAGAACGGTAAATAGCCCTAGAAAATAGGGCTGTTGTTAATGGCTAGTCACGATTTGTGGTTCCTATCAGAATTGCGTGGGGCTGCCTCTGTTGGGCCTTCCTGTAATCGTTTCCAGCCTTGGGTAGTGATAGATCATTCCTTGACTCAGAATCCAGACGACCCCAAATTGAGGCAGGTCAAGGGGCCGGATTTAGTTAGATTACTAAGTTAGGGTTACCTAGAAGTGCTCCGAGGAACTGCTTCCTAAGGGGAATTCGTGTACCTAAAATGCTAAGATTTTGCGAGTATTTCTGCATAATTGTGAATGCTATTTCCAGATAAAGTCTAGTGCCAAGTCTGTCGTAACTTATCAGAACAGAAACAAAAGAGCCAACCCCCCCCCCCCACACACACACACACACTTTAGGAGCAGTGTTGCTTCCAGTCTGAGGTCATTTACAAGTTGCTAACACAGTGGCCGTGTTAGACGGGGATGCTATCTACAAGGTAGACGATATGCTGTTTGATACTCAAAACATTTTTCTTTTTGTTTAAAGTAGAAAATGCGTAATTGTATATTTTAAGAGTCTTTGAGATGGGTTAGAAACATTTTATAAGGTAAAGATGTAAATGATTCTAGTTTAAAGCTCTCTTTGACTTTTTAAGACGACGTTCTTACGCGTGCTATTTCTCTTGCCATTAAGTTGGATGATGCCGTGATTTTCATAAGATTCATGGTTGACACAAGTTATGTAGCTTAAAGAAAAAAAGAAGCATTGAAATCTATTTTTGAGAATTAACGAGAACTTAAATATTTTCTAGTGTGCAATATCAAAAGGGAAGCAACCATATTTGGGAAAGTGTATCCACTGCTTTTAGGGACATTTTTATATAAATATTTAAATAAACATATTCGTTTGCCTGAATTAGTGGGTTTTTTTGTTTTCTTTCTTCCCCCCACTTATTTCAGTCTTGTTTTCAAGTTGGTTCTACCCTAACGCACAAAATGTCCTTATGGTTTGGTTGTTTATAATGACTAACATTTCATAAGACAGGACTTCCAGAGCTCACCTTAGGGTCTTTGAAAACGTAAGGCATCTTTAAGTGCGTTTATTTTTTGTCGCCGATTGTACCTTTTGGTCCACACCCCGGGCTCTCCTCTCTGGAGGCCTCTGCCCTGACCTTTTCCTATACAGCTTCCCCCGTGGGGCTATGCGTTTGCAAACACATTCTTCTCCTCCTTCGTGTACAGTGGCTCTTTATCTTTAAAACGGAACTCCAAACTCCAGGCTGTGTTCTGAAGACATGTTCAGTGACTGTGAACAAACTGTGCAGCTACCAGGAAGGGAGGGAGGGAGGGAGGAAGGAAGGAAGAAAAAAAAGGCAGTACAACTGTTTATTTACCCTGGCAGCGCCCTCGAAACACAGCGATATTAAGGCCACACTGGAGGAACACCAGCTCTGCCACCAGGAACAAGGGGTTTATGGTACGTAGCACAGCGCCTCACTCTTGGTTTCCTTTTGACGGTCACGTCTACCTCCTGAAATGTGATTAGACCGTTCCATGATAGACACAGGTCAGTCTGCCCTGGCTGGCTTTTTGCAGGATTTGAGAGTCCCTTACTAAACTCTCTTAGGAAGATCCCCATGCCCACCCCGACTTTTAAGGATTTTAGATTTATTTATTTTGCGAGAGACAGAGAGGGAGGATCCCAAGCACACTCTGCTGAACACGGAGCCCAGCACGGGGCTTGATCTCATGACCTTGAGACCGAAACCCAGAGTTGGACGCTCAACCGACAGCACCACCCAGGTGCCTGTTTTTGTTTTTAAAAAGATTTTGTTATTAGGTAATGGCTACACCCAATGTGGGGCTTACTCAGCCCCGAGATCAAGAGTCACGGGCTCTACCGACCGAGCTGGCCAGGTGTCCCCTCCACGCCCCCTCTTCCACTAGCAGAGTGAGGGCCGTGCTATCTGGAGCCCACTAACTTAGACGCCTGAACCCAGAGAGCAAGGCAGGGGAACTGCCGGCTTCCATGCAGGCCTCCCCTCATTCATTAGATGCTGTGAAAGGAAAGTCTTTGTTCTCGATTTGAAAACAAAACACGATCCTGTAGCTTGTGGTTCAAGCGGAGAAGATGCTGCGAGAAGAGCCGTCACCTGGGCTGTGTGAAGAACGCTTGAATGTGCTGTGCCACTGCTGGTCCCACGACTGGCTCCAGCTCTCGGAGGGAAGCATTACTTAGTTGCTGGATACTTGGGAACTTCTGAAGCAGAAGGAGAGCTTTAACTTTTCCAACTCCTGGGATCTGTTGCACAGTTCGAAGGAGGGATAGCTCAGGGATCGGAGCCCGTTTCTTAGTGAGGAAAGGGTTCTTACTGGGCTCTTTGGTTTGTTCTTGAACCTAAACCAATGGTAAAAGAAAAAAGCGTGTGAGCGCCCTCTAGAGGGACTGGCAGTTCTCTTAAAAATTGATGGAAATTTAGTTTTTACTTTTTCATTTGGTTCAGCTTGATTTGCCACTACAAATGTTTTCCGATACCATGAATATAATTTCTCCGATATCAGCAAAGTTACCGAGAGATGAACCATAGGAGTACACAAAGGACTAAGATAAATTGATTAAAACTTGAATTTTCAGAATGCTTCGGGTAAAGCAATGAAAGCAAATGTTGAGGAGTTCAAGCATGTTCCTGTGGTCTACGAAGAAATGACTCAGTTGTATGGGATTAAATTAAAGCTAAACTTGGACTTGCTTGGTACAGGACCTGGGGAGAGCTTGCCTATCAAAGGAGAAACTCAAGTTTTCAGTTAGCGGTGGACATGGGAGGGCAGACAGTAGCTTTACATCAAGGGAGGTTAGGAACGGCGAAGCAAGGAATGTGGCAGAGAAGGAAGTGATCTACCAACAACACGGCGCTGCCTGCATTTTTCTTTTTCTTTCTTTTTTTTAAAGATTTTAAGATTAATTTATTAAGATAAATAGTAAGATTTTATTTAAGATTTATTGAGACAGAGAATTAGTGAGAGACAGAGATAGCGGAGCAGGGGGTGAGGGAGAAGCAGACTCCTTGCTGAGCAGGATCCTGATGCGGGACTTGATCCCAAGACCCCAGGATCATGACCTGAGCCAAAGGCAGACACTTAATCGACTGAGCCACCCAGATCCCCCGCTGCTTGCATTTTTCAATTTGGCTCTCAATCCTTGCTATGCACCGAAAGGGAAATTTAAAACCAACACAACAAAAATTGATGCTTTAGGCCCTGACATTCTGATTTTTACTTGGTATGAGGTAAGGCTCATATATCACTGTTCTTAAAAGTTCCTCAAGAAATTCTAAAGCATGGACAAGATGAATAATCGATAAAGACAATGCAGAACCAGGACTTTTTTTTTTTTTTTAAGACTTTATGTATTTATTCATGAGAGACCCAGAGAGAAGCAGAGACACAGGCAGAGGGAGAAGCAGGCTCCATGCAGGGAGGCCGATGTGGGACTCGATCCTGGGATCCCTGTGTCATGCCCTGGGCTGAAGGCAGATGCTGAACTGCTGAGCCACCTGGGCACCCCTCCCCCTGTTTTTGTTTTTTTTTAAAGGATCATCTGCTTTGGGCTGTAGTTGACCGCAGATGGGTGAGCGCTACTGTAGATGGGGCTGAGGGGTTGCAACCGTAGCAAGGGCAGCAGCTGGAGTAAAAGATCCAGAAAGGTCAGGTGAAAGTCTGTAGGGCAGGGCTCCTGCAGAGGAGCAGGAATCCATACTTACCAACTGGATAATAAGGCAGGATGCTTCCATCTGGCTGGCCACTGGAAGCAACACCATCCCAAGGTCCAGCATGGTGAACTTCTGTATGGCCGAGAAGTACTGTTCACTCATCTGCGTCTTCTCAACAATTACAATCCCTTGGAGATTACTGGACTTCGAAGGAAGAGATGAAAAACCAAAGCAGTAAGCCATTTTTTTTAAAGATATTCTTTTTTTATGATTTTATTTATTTATTCATCAGAGACACACAGAGAGAGAGAGAGAGAAGGAGAGAGGCAGAGACACAGGCAGAGGGAGAAGCAGGCTCCATGCAGGGAGCCCGATGCAGAACTTGATCCCGGGACCCTGGGGTCACTCCTTGAACCAAAGGCAGGTGCTCAACCGCTGAGCCATGCAGGTGCCCCCATAAGCCATTTTGTAACACAACCACCTTGCAGGTAGTTTAAGAAAGCTGCGCAAAAAAAAAAAAAAAAAAAAAAAAAAAAAAAAAAAGAAAGAAAGAAAGCTGGGCAGCCCCGGTGGCTCAGCGGTTTTAGCGCCTCCCTTCAGCCTAGGGCCTGATCCTGGAGACCCGGGATCGAGTCTCACGTTGGGCTCCCTGCATGGGGCCTGCTTCTCCCTCTGCCTGTCCCTCATTTAAAAAAAAAAAAAATTTAAAGCCTTAAAAAAAAGAAAGCTGTCAGTCCAGCAGTGCTCCCAATCCCAATGGTTTGTATATAAATCATCCCCAAGGATGGGGGCGGGGGCAGCTGGGGAGTCGATTCTCAGTTTCAGTACTTACATTCCTTTTTTTTTTTTTTTTTTTTTTTTTAGTACTTACATTCCTAACCCGAACAAGTTTCTTCCTGTAGCCATTTCCTGCCACCAGATCTGCTTCGGTGACATAGAGAATGCAAGATCTGCTGGACAGATAAAAATCCACCGGTGTCAGGCCATCCTCAAAAACGATTTTAACTTTCCCTTAGGACACAAGAGAAGAACGAGGAGTTTCGTGAGCTCCGGGGGCGGGGGGGGGGGGAGGCGACAGTAGGCAGGACGTCTCGGAGGAGGGCAGCCCACCGACCTTGCATCCCCTGCGCCAGCTGCGACCCGCGCCACCTGTCGCTGGCCACCACCTGCCCAATAGGCACGTGCATGGGGCCCATGCCCCCAGCGGGGTTCGTGGCCATCGGCAGCCTGGACCTAAGGGGGGAGGCGGAGGGCGGCATCAGAGCGGGTCCCCGTCCCGCCCGTTTGCAGCATCTTTAAAAGACCGAATCATCCGCCAAAGCCTTAGACCCAGGAGATTCCCCTCACTTCCGTCACCTGCCGCTCGGTCTGCACCACGGTCCCTCCGCGCGCTCCGCGGCCGGCGCCCAGCGGGTCCGCACCCCACCTGCGCCCCGGGGCCCGAGGATGCCGCGCTCTCACCTGCCGCCGCCAGCCACTTCCGGTTCCCCTCGGGCGCGCTCGCCGAGGTTTCATCCTGCCCGCCCTCCGCCTCCCGCGGAGGCGCCGGATAGGCTAGAGCGTCGGAGATCGACACTTGAGCTGACCAATAGGAGAACGGACTACTCGCTGTTTCCGCCCCCCGCAGGGATTTGAATGGGGGCCGCTGGTTGCCAAGAGCGACGGGCGCGGAGTAACCTTGTCTCTGATTGGTCGACAGGAAAGCGGAGCCAATGGCGGGCGAGGTTACTACGAAGTGCATTGCGTAGGAGAAGCGTCCGGCCCGTGGGCGGGGCTCGGGCTCCAGGGAGCGGTCCCCACCTGCGAGCGTGGCTGCACTTCGGTCCAGCGCTGCTCCGACCACATCCCGCAGCCACGATGCCCGTGGGGTTTCCCAGGGGCCGCAAGAGCCAGTTTGTAAGTAGATCGCGGGGGCCGGGAGTTAAAGGGGAAGGGGTGGGGTTTGGCCTGAGGTCGAGGCCAGGGAGCACCACGAAGGGCAGCGGTCTTCCATCCGAGAAGCCCCGGCTGGGGTGTTCTAAAGCATCCTGTATCCCAGGGCCGGCCTGGCTCTCGGTCAGGAGTCGCCTTGTCCCCCCCGCAACGTTTGCTGCGGGGTCGGGGAGCGCCCCCCGCGAACGCCCCGGCCCCCTGCCCCCCGGGTTCCCGCCCGCGCCCTGCACCGCCTGCCGCAGCAGCAGCAGCCCCTCGCCCCTGCGTCGGGTTTCTGCCCTCCTTACCACCCGGTGCCTCCAACACACGCACGCTCCAGCCATTTCTCCCTTTTTTTCTTTTTGTAAAAAAATGTTTTATGCGTTCAGGAGGAGACAGAGAAACGCAGAGAGAGCCCGATGCGGGCCTCGACCCCGGGACCCCAGGATCACCATCTGAGCTGGAGGCAGACGCTCAACCGCTGAGCCACCCAGGCGTCCCTTCCAGCCATTTCTTCCATCCCTCCAGGCCTTTGCTATTGCTTCTGCCTGGAACGCTTCCCTCCAGTGCCTGCCATGGCCACTGTCACTGTAGGCGCCTTCTCCCACCTTCACGCTTACCACTTGCCCGATTTGCCTCCCACCGGGCCCAGTTTCAGTGGGTGTTCTCACTAGGCCACAGGTTCTCCTTAGTTTTATGGTATGAAAACTCTTAAATGGGAGCGGTCTCCACTCTTACCCCAGCCCGTTCTTCCAGCCTGTCCTCAGAGGCTTCTGTATTCCAGCAAACTGGAATATTCGTTGTTTCTAGAACACTGCGGCCAACGCTGCCTTCTTCCCGTTGTTCATGCTGTTCCCTCTTCCTAGAATGCTTTTCCATCTCTTTTCCCACACGTGAGGGCAGTGGCTATCTTTGATGACCCCGTCTACATGCCTCTGTGGTTTCCTCCCAATGGGACACGAGAGGCCTCCTTGCTGGCTCCCGACCTGAAGGAGGCCTTCCCTCCCGGTTCCATCCCAGCACCAGATTGTCTTTCCTTGCCCTTGGCGCTCTCCGTAATTCTGTGCGGCCCGGTGGGTACTTGGGTGTTTTCCCTCCCTACTCTTACTACCTTGAGGATGAAGACAGGGTTTCTTCCTTGCAGTCCTGGTGTTTGGCCTGTAGGAGGTGTGAGTAATGACTCCTGCCTAGAAAGTGAACACTGGGCTATACTCGGAAACTTCTGAATGACTGCCAGTGGCCCAAAGCCAGATTCTCTGATTTCCATTGCGTGTAGGAGCTGGTTTTCGTTATTCTGTGTCTTTGAGATAACTACTTAAAGCCTTTTTTTTTTTAATACTTTTGTTCTTTATGCTACAGTGAATAAGTTAATGTACCACTGCATTATAGTGTTAGAACATTCTGAATATGGCTAACTACCTAGCTTTACCAGGAGGCTTTATATACTTCTATGTCTTCCTATTACTTTTAAAAGGTATTTTATTTCTTTTTTAATTTTAATTTTATTTTTTTGAAGATTTTATTTATTCATGAGAGACACACAGAGAGAGGCGGAGACACAGGCAGAGGGAGAAGCAGGCTCCTGATGGGGGATTCGATCCCAGGATTCCGGGATCATGACCTGAGCCAAAGGCAGATGCCCCACCATAGAGCCACCCAGGCGCCCCTAAAATATTTTATTTAAATTCAATTTGCCACCATATAGGATAACACCCAGTGCTCATCCTGTCAAGTCAAGTGCCCTCTTTAGTGCCCATCATCTGGTTTACTTAAAGTCTTTATTAAGCTTCTGCGTGATGTGGAATAATGGGGACAGTGCTTGAGTTCCAGGGTTGATAAAGACAAGAAGGTTGCCTGCTCTCAGACAGCTTTCATTCTGCAGGGGGGCAGCAAGCGAAGGAGTAGGGTCATTGGAGGTCATGCTGTGAAACAAGTGGAGGTCCTAGATAGTGATTCTGGGGCATGGTCAGCGGGAGATGAGAGGGCCCCCACAATGGGCAGCTGCAGTGGTGTTCCCTGGGTGGGCATACTTGCCTGGCCAGATGGGAATTGAGGATGGCATGGGGACGACTGCGTTCTTAATGGGGTTAGATCCTTGGGTGGCCAGTGCAGGTGTTCCCTTTCAGCGTCAAGGAAGGGTGGTGACAGGACCTAGGTGATCCCATACACCAGTGACGCTGCTGTGTTTCATTTGTGCAGAAACACATCATCCATGGCCTTCTACCTGCAGCCAGCATCGCACCAAAGCCAGCTGTGCCCCGCACACCTCCTCCCCGCAGCCCGAACCCTTCTCCAGAGAGACCAAGGTGAGTCTCAGGTGAACAGGCCTTGAGGTCACCCTTGTAGTGCCAAGTGGTGGGTGCTGGAACTGTTCAAACTGGTAAGAAAAATCACAAATCGGGCCATTAGATTCATGTTCTTTGAAATGTGATTATCATGATTCTGTAATGAAGTGTTTAATATTTTCTGTGGGATAATCGTCTATTCCTTCAAGTGTATGGGGTTTCCACATTTCATAATTGAATGCAATTAGTATTTTTCCAGATATAAAGCATTGAAGCCCAAGTATATAGGTTCATAATATGTTGAAAAGAATTTAAAATTATTACTATTCTTCTGAAACACAAGTCTGCCTTTTAAAAGAGCTGATTTGAGGGAAGGAAGAAAGAAGAGTGTTTACCCCCCAGGGCCCGGGATTCCATCTTCTCATGTTCCCAACACCAGAAAATTGACTTTCTTTTATACCCAGCACTCTTGCCTGTACCTTCTAAGGGTTAAGACACAGGAGAATTTCAGAGTATTTTTTTACCCATAAAAAACATGGATACATGGCTTGACTTACCAATGAATTGATGATAAGAACTAATTTCAGGGGCAGCCCGGGTGGTTCAGCGGTTTAGCGCCACCTTCAGCCCAGGGCCTGATCCTGGAGACTCGGGATTGAGTCCCGCGTCGGGCTCCCTGCATGGAGCCTACTTCTCCCTCTGCCTGTGTCTCTGCCTCTCTCTTGCTCTCTCTGTCTCTCATAAATAAATAATAAAATCTTTAAAAAAAATAAAGAACTAATTTCAGGCAAGAGTGGTACCTTTTTTTTAAAGTGTCCTTCAAAACTAGAATATCATATGCCTCTTGAGAAAAAAACACTTTGAAATATTGTTAGTGTTTGTTTTGTCCTTAAATATCATGTTGATAACAAGAATAGCCATTTATTAGTGTTTACCTCACGCAGAGGCCTGTTGTTAAGTCCTTCAGAAGCATGTTCTCATTCCACCCTCTCAACAACCTTCGACCCTTGGAGAGAGGTGTTGCCTGCCTCTCTAGCTTGACCTCAAGTGTTCTGCATTGGTCCGAATTCTTGCTGGGCGAGTGGTGGCACCACGACATTGGACACCTGTCGATCTGTCCGGCTCTTCAGTGTTCATGTGACCGACTCTGACTTTGTGTCACTAGGGCTTATGTGGCAGCAGTAACAGCAAGAGAGCTAGCTTTACATTCCATCCTGGAGCAGAAAAACACGCATGTTTCATTTAATGACAAGCATGCTGTAGGTTCATTAGGAACTCTCTGTTGTCTCTTGTGCTATATGAAAATGTCTTCCCAGACTATAGTCTTTATAAGCCAAAAATTATCAACAAGGCTTTGGCAATTGTGGCATATTTCTGTATATTTTTTTTATTTACAAGAAATGGTATTCCAATTACACTGAGATGTCCCTGCGCTTCGCGTGTAGTGTAATAGCGTAAGAATCCGACAGCCAGGGATCCCTGGGTGGTGCAGCGGTTTGGTGCCTGCCTTTGGCCCAGGGCGTGATCCTGGAGTCCCGGGATTGGGTCCCACGTCGGGCTCCTGGCATGGAGCCTGCTTCTCCCTCCTGCTGTGTCTCTGCCTCTCTCTCTCTCTCTCTCTCTCTCTCTCTCTGTTTATCATAAATAAATAAATAAATCTTAAAAAAAAAAGAAAAAAAGAATCTGACAGCCATTTATTTCCATTTCCTCCTTCCCATCCTTCGTCTTACTGTTGCTGTACATTTTAATTCCATACGTTATAAATCCCACAATATATTGTTACTGTTTTTTTTAATTTTTTAATTTTTTTTTTTTAAATTTATGATAGTCACACACACAGAGAGAGAGAGAGGCAGAGACACAGGCAGAGGGAGAAGCAGGCTCCATTCACCGGGAGCCCGACGTGGGATTCGATCCCGGGTCTCCAGGATCGCGCCCTGGGCCAAAGGCAGGCGCCAGTCCGCTGCGCCACCCAGGGATCCCTGTTGTTACTGTTTTTGCTTTTAACAGTCTTTTGCCTTTATTAAGCCAGTTTTATTGAGGTATAATGGACATATGATAAACTGTACATATTGGACACACGTCATGTTGTGACATTTACATGACAAGATTTACACCCATGAAACCATCAGTGCAAACAAGATAATAGACATATCCATCATCCCGCTGAGATTTTCTTATGGCTCCTTTGCAATTCCTACCTCCTGTCCTTCTCTCTCCCCTCCCATTCCTCTTCTCCGTCCACCCTCCCCCCCATCTCCAAGCAACCGCTGATCTGTTTTCTTTCGCATTAGATTAGTCTGCATTTTCTAGAATTTTATATAAGTGGAATTACATAAAGTAATTATGCCGGCTTCTTTGATTCAGCATAATTATTCTGAAATTCATCCATATTGTTGTGAAAAATCAGTAATTCACCCTCTTTATTGCTTAGTAGTGTTCCAGTATGTGAATAACGAATATGTCACAATTTGTTTCTCCATTCACCTGTGGATGGATATTTCATTTGTTTGGGGGTATTATTATTATTATTATTATTTTTAAGATTTTTATTTATTTGACAGAGGGAGAGAAAGAGAGAAAGTGAGAAAGCACAAGGAGGGGGAGGGACAGTGGAAAAGGGAGAAACAGGCTCCCCGCTGAGTAGGGAGCCCCACATGGGGCTCGATCTTAGGACCCTGGGATCATGACCTGAGCCAAAGGCAGACACTTCACCGACTGAGCCACCCAGGCACCCCTTGGATTTTATTATTTTAAAAATAAAACTGCTGTGAACATTTGTGCACAAATCGTTGTTTCCTACATAATGCTTTTCGTTTTCCTTGGGTAAATATCTAGGAGTAGAATAGGTGGGTCATATACTAGGTGTATATTTGTCAAATAACTGCCAAATTATTTTCCAAAGTTTTTATTTAGTTTATGGTCTGACTAGCATTGTAGGAGTTCCAGCTGCTGAACATCCTCACCAACACTTGGTTTGGTCAATCTTGTGTGTGTGTGCGGTTTTAGAATTTTAGTTGACCTTAGTTCTAACTCATATTGCCTGTTGATAGGATTTTGAAAGTGGTGATGGTACATAGGGAACAATGTAGAGAGCTTCTCTGGTGAATCAACATCCCCCTTAAGCTTTCTGGACGACCATAGACTCATCCAGGGTGGGCCATTCCTTATTCCTTTGGCCCAGGCGGCACTGTTGTATCTGGAGTCCGTGAGCACAGCTGAAATTCCCAACTCCTTCCTTGCAAATTTCTGGATCTCTCTACCCAAGGGGGCACATTTCTTGAGGCTCACTCTGCAGAGTGCCTGTGAATGTTGGTGGGGTACTCTCCAGTTGCCATCCTGGCAATGGCAGCATGGCCCTTCTTCTTAACCCTCCTCCTTTGTGGGACCCAATCTGCCGGGCCTAGGTTGGAAAGGAGGAGCATAAGGGATTCTCTTGTCCAGTCTTTTAAATTTTGGACATTCTAAGAGTAAGCAGTGTAGTAGTATCTCATTGTGACTTTATTTTGCATTTCTCTGATAATTAAGGTTGTTGAGCATCTTTTGTGCTTATTTGCCATTTGTATATTTTCTTTGTCTTTTTTTTTTTAAGATTTATTTATTTATTCATGAGAGACAGAGAGAGAGGAAGAGACATAGGCAGTGGGAGAAGCAGGCTCCCTGCGAGGGGGTACTCGATCCCAGATCCCGGGATCATGCCCTGAGCCAAAGGCAGCCGCTCAATCGCTGAGCTACCCAGGTGTCCCCCATTTGTATATTTTCTTTGGTGAAGTGTCTATTTAAACCTTGTGCCCTCTTTTAAAAATTGAGTTGTGTTCCTATTCCTGTATTTTGAGAGTTCCTTATATAATCTAGATAGAAGTCCTTTATCAAATATCACAGATATCAAGTCCTTTATCAAATTTCCAAATATGTGTGTGGCTTGTCTTTTTATTCTCTTAACAGTGTCTTTCAAAGAGCAGGAATTTTTGATTTTTATGAAGTTCAGCATATCAATTTTTTTCTTTTATAGATCTTGATTTCATTATCCTATCTGAGAAATCTTTGCCTGAACCAAAGCTGCAAAGATTTTTCTCCTGTATTTTCTTCTAGAAGTTTTATAGTTTTGGGCTTTACATTGAAGTCTAATCCAATTTGAATTTCTTTTTGAATATGGTGCACAGATTCAAGCTTATATGGAACTCAGTTGTTCAGCACCATTTGCTGAAAAGGCTGTATTTTATTAGTTATCTATTGTTGTGTAACAAATTACACCAAAACTTAGTGACTTAAAGCATAAAACAGTCACATATTTTTATCCCATATCTCATGATGCCCCTTTTTTTTAAATTATTTTTTTTCCTCTCTGTGTTTCATTTTAGTTATTTTCTCTTGTTTTGTCTTCAATTTCACTAGTCTTTTTTTTTTTTTTTTTTTTTTGCAAAGGGTAATCTGTGGTCTGTCCCATACAGTCTAATTTTCAGCTCCCAAAGCTCAAGTCTTTTTTAATAATCTCCCGTGTTTCTACTTAACTTTTTGAACATATGGAATACAGTTATAACTGTCTTTATGTCCTCTGCTCGTTCTAACATATGCCTTCAGTTCTGAGTGGGTTTCTTTTGATTCTTCTCGTCATTTTGGATCGTGTTTTTCCGTCTCTTTGCATGCCTGGTTATCTTGGATTGCATACTAGACACTGTTGTAAGTTTCACTTTGTCACATGCTGGATATTTTTGTATTCCTACAAATCTGCTGGAATTTTGTTCTGGGATGCAGTTAAGTTACTTGGAACTGATTTGATCTTTTAGGTCTTGTTTTTATGAGTTGTTAGGGACATCTGAAGCAACCTAGGGCTAATTATTCCCCACTACTGAGGCAAGACCTTTCCAAGGACTATTCTCCATGTCCTGTAGATTATAATGTTTTCCCATCTGGTGGGAGCAGGCATTGTCCCCAGCCGTGTGTACGCACCTGGCACTGATCCTCTAATCACTGTGGATGGTTCTTCCCCCAGCCTTGGATAGTTTCCTGACATTCACCCACTGAGGAATATTTTGCCAAACACTCAGGGGCCCTTCTGCAGATTTCCGGAGCACTCTCTGCTCAGCTCTCTCCTTTCCAGTACTCTGTCCTGCAAATTCTGTCTGCTGTGCTTTTCCTGGATGGTCAGCTCGATCTCCGTAACTCGGTAGGTCCACCTAGCCCCATGTCAGTTCTTCTTTCCTGTGCCATGACCTGGAAATTCTCTCAGGCAGTAAAGCTGACACAGTTGTAAATCTGTTGTTTTGTTTTGCTTTTGCAAGTGGGAAGGTAAATCCATTACTCTCATCTTTCCAATATTATAGTTTTGAATAATTTACAAGTGTTTTAAAAATGCCTTTTAAAATCTCTTGTATCTTTTTTTGGAGTGCCTGGGTGGCATAGTCAGTAAAGGGTCCGGCTCTCGGTTTTGACTCAGGTCCTGATCTAAAAGTCTTGAGATCGAGCCCCGGATTGGGCTCCACAGTCAGTGTGGAGTCTGCTTGAGATTCCCTCTCCCTTCTGCCCCTCCCACTGATGCTCTCTCTCTAAAATAAATATATCTTTTTAAAAATAATTAAAAAATAAAATCTTTGATATCTTTTTTATATCTCCTTTTCTTCCCCCCATTCTGATCTCTCATTTTAAAAGGAAACTGCTTGAATATAGACTGCCTAGTTTAGAGACCTGGACTCATCTCCTATTAGCTAGAAAATCTTGGACAATCGTTTATATTTTATTTAAAAAATGGAGATGACAGTAATATGCATTCATTCAGTTGGTGTGATAATGAGATGAAGTACATAACAGTGGGGATGTAGTCAGCAGATAAGCACTAAACATGGAACAGAAGCTCACCCCTCGTTAATTCTTGTGTCTCGTGTCCTGTCGTTCACCCTTCAGCTTGCATGTTTGTGTCTCACCTTCTCCCTGGGGTGTTTTTGTGCCTAGATCTGCTCTGGCTGCTGTCATCCTGACAACAACACTGACCGGCCGGACCGTTGCCATTCCTCAACCTCGCCAGAGATCCGTGTCTGAGAGTGACACGACCTATGTTGAAAAGGACAGTTTTATCGAGCCCTACGCCACCACCTCAGAGCTGAGGCTTCAGTAAGAACCATATCGCTGGCTCTGCTGCTTCTCTGGGCAGAGGACACCCAGCTTGTGTGTGTGTATGTATGTGTTTGTGTGTGTGTGTGTGTGTGTGTGTGTGTGTGTGTGTGTGTGTGCGCACACGCATGCTTGTGGTTGTGAATGGAGCATAGTACTCAGCTTTTCATCACCACTGTCTACAGGTCACTGTCTTGGGATATTCGTTGCTTTTGACTCATATCAGGATTTTCTCCAGAGTGGCTCTTACTAAATTAAGGCTTCTGAAAGCCCTGGTGGTTTTCAGAGAGTGGTGAAGTCAGTGCCACCTTCAGCCCTTCACGGGACTCTCCCGTGCCACAACCTAGGTGCGAGAGTTGTCACCCACCACTTCCCCTGTGTCCCCTCTCTGAACATTTCATGCTGCTCTTACCTTCGGTATTCAGGTCTACTATAATCTTTCTTTTTTCAACTCATTTTTTCTGTTGCTTGAGCCTGGTGAGAGCCAATATTGGGTTGGGGGGTCAGGAAGGTTTCCTCCTGGGGAAGAGAGCATTGAGCGCAGAGCTGAGGAAGGAACAAGGTGTGCCTGGGAATGGCTCAAGGGTCTGGGGACGATGGCCAGTGTGGGGCTGGGATGAACCTTTGAGACAGAGAAGGAGCATGACACATGATCCATGTGAGCAGCTGAGGGAAGAGGTTTGTGGCTGGGTCAGTGGGTGAGGTGGGTAGAGGCCAGCCTGGCGATGCCTTTGGTGTTTTGTTCTGAGGTTTGGTCCTCTCCACCCCTTCCCGCTAGGAGCCCAGGAGGACACAGGGCTTTAAGGGCTTATGGGGTGGGGCTTGGGGAACACATAACCAGATTTGCCTTTTATCTGTTATCTTTATTCAGTTTTGTTTTTTGAGGTCTTTTTGCATACCTTTTTATGAAGTCTGATCTATCAGTCTTTGTAGTTTTTGACAAAGGCCTGAAAAGAAACCTGAAAGACCTTCCCTATTATATGAATGCTCACTTATTTCCATCTAGAACATGTTAATATTTTTGGCTTTCACATTTTAATATTGACTCCATTTTGAGATATTTGAATATAGCCCATTTTTCTTCTGGTAAGAATTTTGCTGTAGCTGCATAAGAACTAAAGATGAGGAAAGGATCTTAAACTTCACTAGAAAGAATGAACAGATAAGACCATCAGATGAAATCTGGAAACTTTGACTCAGGGGGAGGGCTGGATTAGCCACATCGTATTTAAAACACATAGATGAAGTAGTGAAAACAGTAGGACTGGTTCCATGATAGAGAAGTGCCCACGGATACCCTGAGGGAACCCGATGTTTGCAAGCATAGTGACGGTTTCATAAAGGCAGCCTCACAGAGCAGAGGGGAAGGAAAGAATCCGACAGTATAGTGATTGGCAGTAGTAGAAAAAAAAAAAAAGATCAGTTTTGAGCCTTGGCTAGTTCAATATGCCAAATAAATTACTCTTAAAATATTAATCTGTACATAAGACCATGAAATCCTATAATCAGATCTCTTAGAGGGTAATGCCTGCTATGTCCTTCTAAGCTAAGAATTTAAAAGGTAAAAAAAAAAAAATTTTAATCATCTATATGTTAAAAAAAACTTACACAATGAAATTAAGAATAGGAAAAATACAGTAAATGCAAAGTTTTTAACTTTGTAGATGCAAAAGTTATTGAAATAGGCATACGAGAAGCAAAGGAGATCCCTGGGCAAAGGACATGGACAGTTCTTCACAGAGAATGGACACAAATACATGGAAATAATTGTTTTAGTAACAAATGCAGATTTACATAGTGAGATTTAAGTTCTTTTGCCAAGTTTTGGAAAATTGTTACTAATGTAGTCACAGGGTGGGGAGTTGACTGGTGAAGTGGTTTTGTGTGGTATGCTTGTAGATCCCCAAAATAGTCACACCATTTGACTCCGTAGTTTACCGTACAGTTATTTGGCTCATAAGATGGATCCTAAACACAGAAGAGATTGATTATCTGCACACAGATGTTATTTGCCACAGTGATAATAGGGCAAAAACCTAAGTAAAGGGAATGGCTGACTAAACTGGTGTATCCACTTGAGTCTTGTCTTTTAACGTTTTGACTTTAGAAACGTGTTACCAAATTTTGACTTTAGAAACGTGTTACCAAAGAGGCACATTGTGCATGTAGGCAGTGATAGAAACTAGAAAAACCTACATAAGAAGCTAGAAAGAAATGCTGAGTTTACGAGGAGATGAGATAGTGGATGACTTAATCCTTAGCTTCTGTATGTTTTGCAATGTGCACAGAACACTTTTGTGGTGGGGCCTTGCAGGTGGGGCATCTAATACATATATATATATATATATATAAAATACATACGAGGGATCCCTGGGTGGCACAGTGGTTTGGCGCCTGCCTTTGGCCCAGGGTGCGATCCTGGAGACCCAGGATCGAATCCCACATCGGGCTCCCGGTGCATATAGCCCGCTTCTCCCTCTGCCTGTGTCTCTGCCTCTCTCTCTCTCTCTCTCTCTCTCTCTCTCTCTCTGTAACTATCATAAATAAATAAAAATTAAAAAAAATACATATGAAAACAGTAGGACTGGTTTATATATATCGATGTTAAGTGGCTCACTTGCTTATTTGTTTATTTATTTTGCTCTCAACCTTCCCATACAGACCAAGTTGGCAGGATGAGACCGGAAGAAGGACTTCTTTGCCATCCTTTGAAATGCTGGGCTACGCAGAGGACGAGGACACGGACACAAACCTGTCGTCCAGCGGCAAGGAGTCGGAGGATGTCAGCCCTCACAAAGAAGGGGGAGGTCCCCGTGATGCCGTGTATGCCGTGCCCCACAGAAATCAGGTGTCGGTCACATTCCAGACTTTCTTTTGCACGTTGACATTAGCTTACTGTAAATTGTGTCGAGTGCATTAGCAAGGATTTCCTTTTCTCTCTTCTGCCTTTAATGGCTTTTGCTTGGGGGCTGATTTTCTGAACATGGGCAGTCTCTTTTTTAATCTGGTGAGGCAGCAGTTTCAGGCTCCTTCCTTTATTATCCAAAGACTGTTCCTTTACCTTCAGAGACGAAGATAAACATCTTCACATTATTAATGTATATCTCCATCCAGTGCTAGGAAGCCTGCTCTTTTCTTTGACCCCCAAAGCTGCTTTTCCTGTCACTTTTCCAGTATCAACATCCACGTTGTGACCTTTCTTCAAACTCATGCCCCACAAGAGGAATATCCTCCTTTATCTCCATAGTAGCCGACATTCTTTGAGTGCTTACCATACGGGAGTCTCTCTCTCTCTTTTTTTTTTTTTTTAGATTTTATTTATTTATTCATGAGAGACATACACACAGAGAGAGAGAGAGACACAGGCAGAGGAAGAAGCAGGCTCCATGTGGGGAGCCCGATGTGGGACTAGATCCCAGGTCTCCAGGATCACGCCCTGGGCCGAAGGCAGATGCTCAACCACTGAACTACCCAGGCATCCCCATACAGGAGTCTCTGTTGTAGGCTCTTTCCCGCAGTTATCCCCCACTGCCTCGGTGAGGAACGAGAGAGAACCTCTGGAGAGGTTCCGGAGGCCATTCCTCCGCCACTGCCTGAGCTGCTCTGGTTTCAACTCCATGCTCCAGGGTTTGGGAAACTAGATAGTACTGCTTCTTTAATGGCAAAAGGCAGTTCTGTAATTTCTTTTTCTCTTCTCTTTTTTCATCGTCACTATAACACATGTTACAGTGACTATGTACCCACATTTACAGCATCAAATTATACACAGAGTGATTATATTTCTATTACTGCCCCCCACTGTATTGAATCATATGTTCAGTGGTCCTAGGGAGTTTATTTTGAGGAGACCTTCGGTGAGCATTTCACGAACAAACCATCAGTTTCTAACACATGCAGACTAACATGCAGCACGAGGTTTCTCTACGGGAAAAGCTCTGAAGCAGGCGGGTGGCGGCCGAGCCTAGAGCAAGTTCTGCCGCAGGGGCCCAGGGGAAGTCCGTCTGCTCTCGATCTGCGGACTTTCTGGCTGGTATTTTGCACTGAGGTTACAGATAGAGTTGTTTATCACTCAACTATTTTGGAAGTAAAGCTTGCCACCCCATTTCCCATAGAAGAAAGAGATTATAGTGACCTAAACAGTCTCCTCTGTCACTAGCAGGATACAGATTTTATTTTGTAGGCACGTGTGTCATGGTGGCTTCAGGTCCCATGTGCAATAGGGAAATTTTGTTTTAGTTTAAAATGTGAAAAGTAGAGTGAGACAACTATTAATATCAAGCATTGATGAGGTTATCCAGGAGCCCTCTAATGCCGGTGGGTGTGTGAGTTGGTACCCCCACCTTGGAAAACTGACATTTCAGTTTATATTAAAGCTGAACATCTTTATTTTCTACAACCCAGCCCAAAAAGAAAGGAAAAGGTAGAAAATAATATAACACAGAGGTATTCTCATTCTCCAGAATGAGCAAGTATGGACATCTTGTCTCAGATTTTCTTTCTTTCTTTCTTTCTTTCTTTCTTTCTTTCTTTCTTTCTTTCTTTCTTTCTTTCTTTCTTTTTTTTAATTTTATTTACTTATTCATGAGAGACACACACAGAGAGAGAGAGAGAGGCAGAGACACACACAGGCAGAGGGAGAAGCAGGCTCCATGCAGGGCGCCTGACGGACTCGATTCCGGGTCTCCAGGATTACGCCCTGGGCTGAAGGCGGCGCTACACCACTGAGCCACCCGGGCTGCCCAGTTGTCTCAGATTTTCTAAAAAGAAATGAAATCATAGTTCGGGTTGAAATCTTTGTCTCCCTCCCTGGAAGACAATCAGCTCTTGGATTTGGAATGCATTCTGGAAGTCTGTGTTTTAGCTCTTTTACTACAAATAAGTGTCAGCAAACAAATACAGCCCAACTTTTTTCTTAATTGTAAATAGGCCACCATAGCGAACCAGTCATTTTACCCCTTGGCTTTTTTTTCACTCTGATTGCAGTTTTGAGATGAATCCACGTTAACTTTTATATCTACATCCTACCGATGAGCATAGAGGTTATTTCCTCACACATTTGGTCCATGCACCTGTGTGTGCTGAGGGTCACACCAGATCCTGCCAGATTGTTCTCCAAAGCAGTTTTTTTTTTCTTTTGCCTTTCAAGCAGCAGCATATGCATGCCAGTCACCCCATTTCTGTTCATCCCAGCTGACTGGAATGCCATCCTTATACAACCCAGGAACCAATTGCAATTGGAAGGGCTCATGACGGTCTGCTTTGTCCTGGCCAGTTGCAGATGGCATGAACGAAAGGGCCCTTTGAGCTGGAAAGGGATTTCGATTTCCCACAGCCTTATGATTGTGTTTTTTTGGGAGGGGGGTGAGGAGAGGGTTAAAGGGGTAACATAATAGGTGCAGGGAGACACGTTGACATTTTCTGAGCATTTAATATATGCTAGGCAGCTTATATGTACCATCTCATTTACTTCACATCCTTGGGGTTAAGTGTGTGAAGAAACATGGTAAGTGACTCGCCCAAGGTTTTTACCCAACCAACCATCCAAGGGCAGAGGCAGGCTTCAGACCAGGGCGACCAAGTTTCTCTGTTTAGAATTAAAATTTGTGTTTATAGTCCTTTTGCCTATTGAGAATATTTCTTAGACATCAAGCTTTCTTTGAAACTGGCCAAATATTCTTAAATTGATACAATTAAAGTATATCCCTTTTGGGGAAAATGGGTGTGTAGAGCCTGTAAAAATGCTATTTGATCGCTAGATGGCACCAGATCCGAAGGAGATACTGCCTGTGGGATACCTTTAATGTCAAAAGGCAAACCTGCCTTTTTTGTATTTACTATAGACACTCTGTAATCTACGGTAAATAATTTATAATTTATATCCTTTTTTATGAGTCTTTCATAATTCCTTTAAATAATTTTCAAGACTAGAAAGATAAGGAAACAGAGCAACCCAAATCAGGCAATTTGGATTTAAATCTATACCTCATGCCTCTCTCTGTGTTTCAGGGTAGTTGGGCAAACATCTTCATGTGAAGTGTGCACCCGCTCAGAAATGGCCTAACATGGAAAGCAAGTCTTGTTTTCAGCAGTTTTCTTATTGGTGCCACCCAAACGTAAGGCTGGAGAGGAAGTGGGGGGGCGTGGATTTGGGGTCCGTTCATGCGATGCTAGCATCCAGTGGACAGAGCAGTGCCCTGGGCATTCAGAGACCTGAGTTCAAGTCCCCGCTTCTCTACTTCCCAGTCGTATGGCTTGGGTAAGTCAGATAACCTCTCTGCACTTATAAAGGACTGTGTTAGGGAGGACACTCTGCCTGGGTAGGTCAGCAGTTCAACTTGAATACAATTCCTGAGCGTGCAGCGAGGACCAGGCATCGTGCTGCAGCGTAAGACACAATCCGCAGTCACACAGTTGTGATAAATCACATATTATTAATATTTGTCATAACCGTGATTATAGTTAATCGATCACAGTTATGATAAATGTTACAAAGGAAGGGTGCAGGGTGGCATGAGACCATGTCTGCAAGGGCGGTACCTTTCTGAGAGGACTGCAGAGGGAGACAGCAAAGAGATGGGAAGGAGCTCCAGTTGCTTGCTTCTCCCTTTGAGGTCACTTGATCCTTCTGTCTGACACCTTGGTAGACTCGTTTGTTATCCTTTGCAGTTCAGTAACTTCACCAGAATTCATGGTGTTGTGTGTTATTATCTGTCCTTTTCCCCCAAAATTTCATTTGTTATTTAATTCTGCAGACACAGATTTTCATCTTCCTTTTTTTGTTTTCAGGGAACATTTCCTTCCCTATTTCGTTTTATCATTGACTAATCTTAGCATTTATTCTCCTTTGGGAACACGAGTTATACATTTGTTGGCTGTCCTTTGTCCTCCATGTCTTTTTTTTTTTTTTTTATCCTCCATGTCTTATATTTTCTTGTAATCACTGGCCCCTCTTTGTTCTTTGCCGTGTTACTTTCTGTGATTTGCTCTGTGTACTCTCCTCATCTCTGTGTCACTGTGTTTTTGCCTATAGTATAGCTTTCACCTTCTCTGCATTGGTTTCATTTTTCCTTTTGGTTTTTAGTTTTACCAATTTACTTTTTACATCTTTTGGTGCCTTGTCACTTTTCTTGGTCTTCTGTATCTCTTCTTTGGGATCTTGATGTCAGTCTCTGTGCTGTCCTTGATTTCTTGGGGAGAATAGAGGCTAGATTCTGGACAGTAAAGATGGGCTCTCCATTGGTGTCTCTCTTTAGCTTCTCCGCCCCTCGCTTCTGCCGTATGGGAATGATTGTACTTCTCCTGGGCCCCTCTGCACCCTGGCTCTCATTGCACCTGTCAGAACATCACTGTGGACCTGTATAACTGTGACTCTTTGTGGCTTTTCAAGCATCTGCATGCCTGAAGTCAGAGGAGGTTTGGCAGCTTTTGGCATTCTCTTTCTGTTCCAATTTTCATAGATTTGGTAGCTGTTTTCTGCCCCATTGACTAAGCTTTCTTCTACCCCCCCCCCATTCTTTTAATTGCTTTCAATAGATTTTAAGGGAAGAGAGTGTAGTCTAAATGCCTTGTTACTATTCTTAAATAGAAGTCATGTAAAGGATGTTACCAAAGCTCTCCTGTCCTCATTCTTGCTATTGTGTTTGTGGATTTGCAGAGCATCCTGTCATAAGGTAACATGCATTCACTCACTTGTTCATGTGTGTATTCATCCAACCACTGGCCAACAGACGGATATTTGAGTGTCTACCATGTGCTTGGATGGAGACCCAGTGAAGAACCATTCATGCAGGGGTAAACCAGTCCTCTCTAGAATTTTCTGGAGGCCAAAAAATAGTGGACATTCTTCTGTTGCTGCTCTTGAGGATTAGGAGTGTCCCCTTTCTGTCTCTGGAGTTTTTGGCTTCTTTCAGTTTTTCTTTTAGTTACACAGGTAATGCGTGAATATGTGTTTCTTATAAAAGCTTTGGATAGGGCACATAAGATGCAGGCTTGTTCTGGAACCCTGCCGTTCTTATTCCAGCCTCCTCTTCTCTCCAGGACAAACCTCTGTGGTCACTTTGACATCTGTGTTGGTTTTTTTTGGGGGGGATGCAAAAATGGAATAGACAAACATAAGGTTTAAATAATAGACATGGAACTCTGTGACCTAACAACATCAAAAGGCAGGAGATTCTAATGCTGTTTTAGCTGCCTATCAAAGGCTGCTACCTGAGATCTCCTTAGCCTCTTTCTTATGGTCAGCAGTGGGCACAACCAGTCCGCGCCCCAAAGCAGAAGGGAAGAAGTGGGGCAAGGGCCTTCTCATTATGCTTCTCTGTATTTATTAGGAAGAACATTTTTTCCCCGGAAGCTTCCCAGGAGGAGTCTCATTGGTCACATGGCCATCCCTTGACCAGTCAGTCACTGGCTAAGGGGAAGAGGATTCCCATGGATCATACCCTAGGGCTGAGTCCATTTGCACCAAACAAAGTCAGGAGTCTCTTAGCAAGGGAGAAAGGAGGGTACCAGTTACTGAGTGAGTGATGTAGCAGTGCCTGCCATGGCATGACTCATGCACTCTCCATATTTACATGTCCGTGTGCAGATAGAAATAGCCCTGTTAGTCTTATGTGCATGGAGATTATTCACTACTACCAGTACAAGCACCTCTGCAGGGACCTCACCCCATCGGCCAGGATAGCAAGGAAGACACCAAGTCATCATTCCAGCCAATATGCGGAAGCCCTCAAGAGTAAGTGCTGCCATTTTCCAATGTGGGGTTTCCTCTATGCAGCAGGTGAGGAAACACGGATTCCCAAACCCTTGGTCAAGCACATTATTGGACCTCCCGATGTCTTTCTACCTTGTGAATCAGAACTGCCCTGTCCAAAGTTAGTTGTGGGGAGCACTTGACTGGCTTAGTCAGTAGAGCACATGACTCTTGATCTCAGGGTCATGAGTTCAAGCCCCGTGTTGGGCACGGAGCCTACTTCAAAACAAAACCAAAAAACCAGAGTTAGTTCTTGGTTTACTGCAAATTCTTACCACCCTCTGCCTTGACTTTACCCCAAAGTGGACCCTCATGGACCCTCATGTTGCTCCACCTCTGGTGACCATCTCTGATGACTATCTGGGTTGGGGTTCTTAACTTAGCATCATTGATGTGAGGAGAGGCATCTGGGAAGGTGGCCATGCCCCATGGGCTAGGCCCTGTGTCATTTGGGTTAATCTCTGCTGGAGGCCAAAGATAGTGGGGACTCCACCCAGATAGTCGAAGCCATAAGAATCCACACTGCAGCCTCCTTGCTGTGTTGGCAGGTTTTCTCCTGCAAGTCATGGAAGGCTTCTGACATCACTGTGCATATTTTTGAACTTTACATGCATGAAATCCCAGAACACTTGTTCTTTGGCATCCAACCACGTTGTTAGGTGTGTACAAGTTGAAAACTGTATCTTCCCGGTACACTGAATATTTTGTCACTCTAAAGTGAACCTTTTTATCTCTAAAAATATGTTTTGCTTTAACGTCTGTTTTGTCTGAATTTTCCACATTTTTTCTGTTTGATATTTGTATGGTCTGGTTTTTTTTTTCCATCTGTTGATTTCAACCTTTCTCCTATCATGTTTATCCGTGTCTTGTAAAGAGCATATTGTTTTTTTGTTTTGTTTTTAAATTTTTTTTTAATTTATTTATGATAGTCACAGCGAGAGAGAGAGAGAGAGAGAGAGAGAGGCAGAGACACAGGCAGAGGGAGAAGCAGGCTCCATGCACCGGGAGCCCGACGTGGGATTCGATCCCGGGTCTCCAGGATCGCGCCCTGGGCCAAAGGCAGGCGCCAAACCGCTGCGCCACCCAGGGATCCCCGTGCATATCATTTTTTAAAACAAGTTCACTGAGATATAATTCACGTACCATACTACTTCTCCATTTGTGTACAGCTGCATATAGTTTTTTGTTAACGGAGTTTGACAAACTTGCCCGTTGTCTTTTTACTGAAGCATTTAGTTCTTTTATATTTAAGGCGTATGTGGGTATAGTTGAGTTTAACCTTGCCATCTTCAGTTTTTCTATTTCTCAGTTTGTTCTTTTTGTTTTTTTTTTTTTTTTTTTAGTCTTTCCTTGAATTGATGCTTTTTTTTCAGTTCGAGTTCTTTCCCTCCACTACGTTGCAGGTTATACCTTTCTTCCCCACCTAAAATTACCCTGGTAATTACAGCACGTACATTTTCCTCTTTAAAATCTGGGATGCTAGACCACCCAGGAAGAGAGTGAAGGAGCCTGGCATAGGTGCTCGGGCATGTGAGGACAGGCAACTCCTGGTATTACTAATGTCAGTGCTGCGGCTGGCTTGGCCTGCTTCTTCCTTCCATTTCTTCGATAACCAAACAGGTTTTGTTTGAATTAGCAAGGTAGTTTTTACCTTGCTACCTTAGAAGTATCTGGCAGTTTAAGAAATGTTTTCAATTCAAACTTTCAACTTAGAGAGCTTTTTAGGAGATTGTCACAAATTTCCTAGGCTTATTAATCAACGTATTAACTATATACAAAGGTACATAGACTGTAAATGTACGGCTCAGTGAAATTTTATAAAGTGGCTACCACCCAGATTAAAAAGAAAAATGACATTACTAGTACCCCAAAGCCCCTCTTTGTGACAGAGAAGAGGCCGCTGCTTCCCCAGAGTTCACCACGGCTCTGACTCCCAGAGCTGACTAGCTCTTAGAAAATCATTGTAGTTTTGCCTACTCTGAAAACTGGCTGATTTTAGTACAGGCAGTGTGTATTGTTTGGAGCGTTTGATGGTCTTCAGTTGTCGTGTGTCGCGATGCTCAGTTCACTGTCCCTGCTGTTCACAGCCCGCTGTGGAGTGCCATTGTTTGGTGACTCCCTCGTTTTACTGATGTTGGATATTTGCTTGTTTTGTTTGGGGCTCTTTAGAACAGCGCTGCCGTAAACAGCCGTGTATACACGTACATATTTCCAGTGGGCCTGTACCGTGCCTGAACCCCAGTGCATGGCATAGGTAGGATCCAGGACACATGTGGGGTCAGCCTTCGTACTCGGAGACTAGCAGAGAGGGTGATATTTGAAGCCCCTTAGCACTTTCCCTTCTCCTTGATGGTAGTGACCAATAGATCTTTGACAGGGTGAACAAGACAGTTGGTTCCCAGGAGATAAAAGCCAAGACGTCATTTCATTTTTTCTTCCTTCAGAGGCTAAGTAGAGTGGGAGACCAGTGTGCATTCCTGAGCTGGGTCATCCTGGAGCCCTGTTCCCAGAGCCTGGTGGGCCTACCAGCCTTAGTTCTTGGCTCTGAAATGCCCCTTCTCTTAGACATCTTGCCAGTCAGCACCACTACTTCTCTACCAGGCTTGGGAATGTCACCCCCTCCCCATAGCCTACAGCACAGAGAGACCCAGCTGATCACATAAGCAAGACTTTATTGAAGAATCAGGAGAGCAGAAGGGACACCAACCCAGACAGTGCCAGTCATGGCTTATTATACCAGATATGATTCACTGCTCTTCCCCTCAGCTGGCCTCTGCGCCAGTGGGACTGTGTCACACTCATGTTCATCACGGGGAGGTCCCATTCCTGGCCCACGGGTCTGTAAGGGACAGTTCTGCCGCCATTCATGATACCTCCATAGGACACCCTCCCAGACGGTGGCAGGGAAGGCTCCGTTCCACCAGGAGATGACGTTTACAGTGAACTCACGGCGAGCAAACATAACAGACCCTACAGACCTCGCGCCACACAGGGACCTGGATGACAGTTCTCCCAGCGCGGCTCAACAGTTCTTGGCTGTGTTGAGATGAATAACACAGCATCAGGGCCAGGCTAGAGTGATCTGATCCTAGGTGCTGTGCAGAGCAGGCCAGGTGGGTTGATCCCTGGCGGGAATGAGGAAGGCAAGAGGCCCAGGTAACATGGGTGGGATGTGAGTTCTCCATGGCCTGAGCGGAGCTTGGATGGCATTGGCTTTGCTACCAGGCTTTTCCTGAGGGACCCAGGTTTCCTCCAGCCCTGCTGGGTGTAGTTCTGTGTCTCAGTGGGAGGTGGCAGTGGAGGACGTATGGTTAAGACACTTGAGTTTGGTAGGAGGAAATTTGATACAGATCGCATTTATCACATGTTCTCTTATCTTTTGTCACCAAAAGGTTCCACTATCACATGGGGTGGATAGTGAAGATGAGGACGATATTTCTGAGCACGATGGGTTTCCAGTCTCGGCTCTTACAACACAGCGTACACAAGAAAAAGGTAAAAAAAAAAAAAAAATTAATATAAAAGCATTTCGTGGCAATAAATACTGGTTAATTTTTTGAACATAGAACCATTGTACCTCCACACCATGGTTCTGTGATCATAAGTGGGAATATTCCTGCGTTCTGTTTTCACTGGAGTTAAGTTAGTCCGTGACTGATTACCTGGATGTTAGGTTGTCTTTAACGTATCCGGTGCTCACTTTGGGTCCATTCCAAAGAGAGAGGGTGTATGGTGAGGAGGAGGAGGCTGGCTCAGGCTCTAAGCTCCATGCACTCCTTCCCCTCTGCTCCCCAGGGCCTGGTGTTGCCTGGGGCCGGCACACAGTGGTCCCCATGGGGTGGACGAGCGACAGTGTCTTGTTCACCCAGCCATCTCCAGCCACTAGTGGTTTGTAGGCTGAATGAGTGCCTGGGCATGTTTATGAGAGAGTGCGGCACATTGTGGCAATGGTGCGGAACAGTTGTCCGTTTCCGAAGAGGTGGCTTTTGTGTACAGGTGAGAAAGACACCGGCACTGCTAGCTGCTTTGTCAGGACCCTCGTGATACCTGGACCAGAAAACACGGGCTGGTTAGGTGGCATGTTTTATCCCTATGGGGAAATCTATACAAATATTAAATTCGTGTACAGATATGGATCTCTTTTTTAATTACAGAAGTAATATTTTCTCACTGTAAAAAAGCTGAAATACATAAATGCAACATAACTACTGTCATAGATAATTTTAACAATGTAGATTGTTTGCTGCTGTAACACACATCATCTTGTCACCAGCCTCTTATCTTAGACACACCTCGCACGTCTCCCTGTGTTTATACCTGTCCCTCCATTTTCTTTCTTTCTTTCTTTTTTTAAGATTTTATTTATTTATTCATGAGAGACACAGAGAGAGAGAGGGAGAGACACAGAGACACAGGCAGAGGGAGAAACAGGCTCCATGCAGGGAACCCAACGTGGGACCCGATCCTGGGACTCCAGGATCACACACTGGGCCGAAGGCAGGCACTAAACCGGAGAGCCATCCAGGGATCCCCCAAGTCCCTCCATTTTCAAATGTCTGTGCTGCCCATGGCCTGGGAGTTACTGAGTCAGGATCCAATCAGGAGACAGAAGGCACATGGTGATGTGATCAGGGAAGTTTAGCATAAAGAACCACCAACTCTAACAGGATTGCCTGCGAGGGGCTGGAGAGAAGTCTAGCGAATACAGCGGTAGAAGGAAGAGCCTCTCCCCATACACTTACGGTGCACGTAGAGCTCTCAGGGGAAGACACCTGTCTGGAGAGCCGCCCAAGGCCCAGAGGCAGCGCTGGGGATGGTGCTGCTGTGGCCTTCTGGCTAGTGCAGAACTCAGCTCACTGGAAAGCCGCCTTCTCCAGCAAGTGCCAGAAGAAGCCACTCATGGGGAGGTGCCCGCTGGCCACTTAGAAAGAGGGAAGGGGGGAGGAGAAAAGGAAGGGCCAAAAGGAGGCCCTGGGATGAGGAGCTTGGCCTTCCCCGTCTGTGTCTCTCGGGCGCCCTCTGCTGATGGAGCACATCCTTGCGCCACCCGACATGGGCAGGTCCTGCAAGGGGGTGCAGAGGGGCAGGGGGGCAGTGGAGGTGGGCCTGCCGCTGGCCCAGTAAATGTTGGGGTCTCCAAGGCCGGGCTAGGCCCTTTGCTCTTCTCAGCAGTCACGCCCCGCCCCCTGCCCAGCAGGTATATGGGTGCACATGGAGTGCCCACTGTGTTAGGTTGTGGAAGCAGCCAGAGCAAGCTTGTTGAAACACAAAGTAGTGTCTGGTAGTGTCCCTGTCCACCCCCCACGGGCCCCCACACCCTTTTTATTTTTACTTAGACCTCCTCACTGGTTTCCCACAGCCTATAAGACCTGCTGGGCCTGCCCCTGCTGCCATTCTCCAGCCACTCCCAGGGTTCTTCTGTTTCTTCAGGTGCGTGGTGGTCCCTTCTGCCACTGGGCCTTTGTACATGCTATTCCCCCTCCCCACAGGCTAATGTCTATTATATATGAAGGCGGAAGAAGGAGGGGTTGCGTATTTGACTTTTTATGTTTTATACATTCACACATATCTGAAAGGAAGTATACCCGATCGATAACCATGATTATCTCTCGGGAGGGGTAAGGTTCAGAGGATGATGATGATTAGGGGGCAGTTTCGATTTATCTGTGTTACTAGAATTTTTGGCAGCAAACTGTGTGGTGTGACTTTTCTATGAGGATGGAGGATAGTACCTGGCATGGCCAGCGTAGGAGACTTCTGCTGTTATTGGAATAGTTTATACCACTTGCCTGACACACTGGAGAGATAAGGGTGAGGCGTCTGCAAACGTTTTGGAGAGACGATCAATGAGAAAACAGGAAATAGAATATATACACAGAGCAGAGCCCAGTGTGCTGTACATACATCAAGAACCAAAGTGAACTTGGGTGATGCCAATTCTGGCTCTTTTTTTCTGCAAAGTTGGTGACCAAGATACAATAGAGGCGGTAATTTCCTTTCCTTTCTTTTCTTTTCTTTTCTTTTCTTTTCTTTTCTTTTCTTTTCTTTTCTTTTCTTTTCTTTCTTTTCTTTCTTTTTTAAATATTTTTTTTTATTTTTTTTTATTTTTATTTTATTTTTTTATTTTTTTTATTTTTTTTTTAATTTTTATTTATTTATGATAGGCACACAGTGAGAGAGAGAGAGGCAGAGACACAGGCAGAGGGAGAAGCAGGCTCCATGCACCGGGAGCCCGACGTGGGATTCGATCCCGGGTCTCCAGGATCGCGCCCTGGGCCAAAGGCAGGCGCCAAACCACTGCGCCACCCAGGGATCCCATCTTTTCTTTCTTTTTTAAAAGATTTTATTTATTCATGAGAAACACACAGAGAGAGGCAGAGACACAGGCAGAGGGAGAAGCCAGTTCCATGCAGGGAGCCCCATATGGGACTCGATCCCAGGACCCCGGGGTCACGACCTGAGCCGAAGGCAGATGTTCGACCACTGAGCCACCCAGACGTCCCTTTATATCACTTTAAACATTTGCTCATGAGATGCTCACCTACCGTGTGCCAGAGGTGACGGAGCTGCAGTCATCTCTGAGGACCCCCACCCTCACGTTCCAGTTGTGGGGCAGGACGTGGTGATGGGGAGCTGCAGTCTGGGGTGCCGAGATGGTTGACAGAAGCAGCACAAAGCTCAGGAGAGCAGGCAGCCTTGCCGGCTGGAGAAGGCAGTGGGTAGAGGGGGCTTCGTTACCACACTTGGAAGGACAAGGCAGGGTTTCGTACATGCGCCAGTCTAGACTGCCCCAGGACATTTGATCAGAAGTTCAGTTAAAATAATGGGGCAAGATGATATTTTGGTCAAAAATAATTTCTTTCGTGATTATTGTTCAAGGCTTGGTAATGTGATGAACCACAAAGTAGATTTATAATCTTTTATGTATCTTTAGGCATTTTCATCCATCTTTCTGAATTCTGCTGGTTTTTGCATTTTTGTTTCCAATTTATTTCCATCCAGTTCCTTTCGCTCTGTAAATTGTAGAAACGAACAAAAACCAACTTTTCACTACAACAGAGGGTACAGGGCACACTAGGGCATAAGATGACCCTCCTCGGAGCACCTTCATCACGGATGCGTGTTTGTAATTGAGAGTGAATAATGGGGTGAGATTTGTTCACCTCTGTGTCACTGAGGTGGTTTGCTCCAAGAAACAACTCTGACCGGGTCAGATGCCACTTCCAGGGAGAGAGGAGTCCAGCCTCTCAGCATACTTGGGGAACGGCGGTGGCACTCGTGGAGAGAAGAGGGGATAGGGCCGTGTGGGAATGGGGGCCACTCCAAGGACTCGGCCCTTGTTCTGCAGTCATGTGGGCCACGGGAGGTGCTCCGGACTTAACAGGAGGAGGTGAGCAGTGCATCAGGCCCTCTGCCTTGTCGGGACCAGCTCGCTGTGGAACCTCAGAAGGCTGTCCCCGCCCGGGCCTTGTTCCGTCGTCGGCAGAAGGCAGGTTCCTGTGATCCTGCTCTTCGGAGTTGTTACTTGTCTTTACCAGCTTTGAAAATGCTTCTTTCTCTCTCTCTTTTTAATCAGATGATAAACATTCTGTTCTGAATTTAAAGGTAAGATTCATTTTTTTTTAAACCCAGTTTAATTGAGAAAATTAATAGAATCAATTGAATTAATTAATTTAAATTAATTTAAATTCTATTAAAATTAATAGAATTTCTGCCATAATTTTTAAAAACTTGTGTGATTTGTTGGGGGTAGAGAGGGATCTTCCCTTAAGAGTCCTTTCCCATTAAGTGTTTTTTAAAAATACTTTTTAGGAGTGCCTGGGTGGCTCAATCCATTAAGCGTCTGACTCTTGATTTTGGCTCAGGTCATGATCTCAGGGTTGTGAGATCCAGCCCTGCGTTGGGCTCTGCACTAAGCACGGAGTCTACTTAAGATTCTCTCCTTCCTTCTCTCTCTGCCCCTGCCCCAAGATACAGGTGCGTGTGCATGCGTGTACGTGTGCATGTGCGCATGCTCTTGCTAAAAAAAAAAAAAATAGTAATAAAATACTTTTGAAACATGGAGAAACCCATGTTTTCCATAGTTCAAAAATGAATATAACATAGTGGGTGGTTAGAAATCAAATACACAATTTGCAGAATGAATAGACAACAACAAATTTAGAGACATGGAAATAGGTTTTTCCTTTTTTTTTTTTTTGTAAACATGGAAATAGCTTTAACTTAAGTTTTAATCCTGCAATATCATAGGAATTTAAAAATTAGAGATTTCTCAGTAGAGTTAATTTATAGTCTTATCTAATTCTTCAACGGAAATTAGAAACTTAATATCAGGCCGGTGTGTAATGGAAAAGTGAACAAAAGTTCAAAGCCTTTCCTTTCCTCTAACTTTGGGGTTGGAAAGGAAGATCATATACTTTTCTCAACACTTTAGAAATGTGCTTCTCTGTGGCGTTTGGGATCATTTTGCCTATCCCAAGGAATAAAAAAAACAAACAAAAAAACCCAGTTAGAGTTTGCTTCACCCATCTCTGTTCAGTACCTGCAGTCCTGTCTCGGGCTTTCAAACATGAACTGACATCCTGCCCCTTGTGAGACCTGCATGTGAAAACACAAGTGGCTGAACTCACGGGCAAAGAGTCAGGAAGACAGCCTGAACAGGACTTCCGTTAGTGCCTCAGCGAAGCTGCCAGAGCGCAAGACCCTTAACGTTTAAGATTCAGTTAAAGGAAACAATGGATATTAGAGTCTCTAAAGCTAAAGAAGACTAAGAAGTACAAGAGCCAAAGTGAAGAGAAAAAAAGGGTATTTAAATATTTGATACACGATGACCCAGCTGCTCTGGCCAGTCTCCTTTTAGAAGATACTAAGACTTTTTTTTTTTTTAAGATTTTATTCATTCATTCATTCATTCATTCATTCATTCATTTATTTAAGAGAGAGAGAGAGAGAGTGCACAAGCAGAGGTGAGGGGCAGAGGCAGAAGCAGACTCTCCACTGAGCAGGGAGCCCGATGTGGGACTCGATCCTAGGACCCTGGAATAATGACCTGAGCCGAAGGCAGATGCTTAACCGACTGAGCCACCCAGGTGCCCCAGATGCTAAAACTCTTAATTCATTACTCATGTTTTTTCTTCCCTAGGATGAAAAACCACCATTATGTCAAAAGCCTCCACCCTCCCCAGGTATTTGCCTTTTGAATTTAATTATGATGAAAACCTTATTATTTTAGAGAATGCCCAGAATAATCTTGTCTAAAATAAAGAACTTTTTTCTTCCGCCCTGTAAAGCTGCTGCTTCTGTCTCGTTACTGAAATTGGGAAGAGGGGCACCTCTGCCCTACGAGGGAGGGTCTAAATGTTGAGACATTGAATGGTGGATGGATGTCCTCACAGGATGTGCTCAGACACTGGGAGGCCGGTGGATGCAAATGGGGACCACTTCGTGTCCCCACCACTTGCCAGGGCCAGGCACATGCCAGGAACCACTCTCACCTTTTCTAGCTGACCTCTTTGGGCATATTTTAGGCTGTAGCTTCCATCTTCACTCTCAAATGTTTTCTTTCTGGGATGCCTCTGAGTTCCCCTCTTGTTTTCAGGATAGCTGTGGGGTTACTAATTTCTTAGACAACCCTTTCTTGTCCTAAGGGTTGGGTATGATGTATCGGGGGGCAAGGAGGCTACGTGGAGTCCCCAGTCCTTGCGCTAGCCCTTGCCAGTTGCCTGGGGTGTGGGCCAGTCCACTATCTGGAGCCACCAGCCCTCCCACCCTGGTCTGCCCCCAGAAGTTCCGCTTCTGCCTCCACCTTCACTCAGAGGCATGCCAAGGCCAGGCAGCCCATTGTGGTCCTTACCTCCTTTGACCCCTGTGAACATATCTCTCCATGGAACATCGCCCTCTGTTCTCCAGTCTCTCTTGCTAAAACTCTTTCTTGGGATCCCTGGGTGGCGCAGCGGTTTGGCGCCTGCCTTTGGCCCAGGGCGCGATCCTGGAGACCCAGGATCGAATCCCATGTCGGGCTCCCGGTGCATGGAGCCTGCTTCTCCCTCTGCCTGTGTCTCTGCCTCTCTCTCTTTCTCTCTCTGTGACTATCATAAATAAATAAATAAAACTCTTTCTTAAAACGCTTTGTGACCTTTGGCTTCTCCACTCCCTGATGTCCACATCCTGGGGGCTCCTCAGTCTCTCCAGCTGAGGCCTCCTTCAGAGCATGGCCTGTGTCCTAAACTGAGCTTGCCCTCTCCGCTTCATTGGTGTTCCTTGTCGAGCTAAGTGTCTTCCAAACCACAGGTGTTGGTAGGCCTCCTTGATTTGTCCCCCCCTCACTGCCCACACCCAGTCAGCTACTGGGCCTGTCAGGGGTTAGCCTCTGAGGCCTTCTCTCATCTGTCTCTTCCTCTCTGCCCTGACTAGGGGCCTCTGGACTGGCTTCCCTGCCTACATTCACTTTCTTCACTGCTGGCCTCAGGGGCTCATCTGAGAAGTAGAGCCCTTTCTTTTCACACCTTTGCCTAAAAGCCTTTTCTAGCTCCTGGTGGCCTGCAGGACATATCCTCCACTTTCAGTATTATGATCTGCCTCGGCTCCTGCCTCTCCCTCTGCTGCCCCCTTCCCTGTGGCTTACTGTAGCCTCAGCAGACCACCCACTCTTTCCTCCTACAGGCCATTCTCATTGCAGGACTGAAGGACTACATAGCACAAGGCCTGACATGGAGAAGTGATTCACGTGGTTCTTGAGATAGTCTCTTATAATTTTGGTGTAAAATTATCATTTTAATAATACTGTAATATCAGTAATAATACTGTAATATCAGTCAGTACTTAAAAACTTTTCCCCTGTACCTTTCCAGATATAGCTGGTAGAACACGGCAAAGATATATAGAAATAACCAAAGAAAAGTTTGAAGAATTAAAAGAAGAAAATATGCAGCTAATCAATGCAAACCAAACCCTTACTCTTGAACTTAACAAAATAAAACGAGCAATGAAAGAACTACAATTAAAACTGAAAAGAACGGAAAAAGAACATCAAAAGTTGAAAGAGGCTGAGAAGACATCATCTCAGGAAGGTGGGGACAACTACACAGTTCGTTTATTAAAGGAACAAATAAGGATTCACTGATTTTCTTTTTTTTTTTTACTTTATTTTTTGAAAGCTAGTGTTTTATGCTGTAATATTTGTTGATGTTAATGTTGATACTGTATTATAATAATTAAGGCTCTTTCATTAATATCCTTGTTAAAATTTGATTTTATCTGCTATGTCATTATTATGCTAAAGAAATTCCAATACTTCTTTTGGTTCTTTATGCTTAGTATAGTATCTTACATATATTTCAAATTTATTTATTTATTTATTTATTTATTTATTTATTTATTTATTTATGATAGTCACACACACAGAGAGAGAGAGAGAGGCAGAGACACAGGCAGAGGGAGAAGCAGGCTCCATTCACCGCGAGCCCACGTGGGATTCGATCCCGGGTCTCCAGGATCGCGCCCTGGGCCAAAGGCAGGCGCTAAACCGCTGCGCCACCCAGGGATCCCTTACATATATTTCATATGGGTTTTTATCCCCGTGAACAGCACATAAAAGTGCATCTTTGAGATCAAGCCTCGAGTCGGGCTCTGCGCTCCATGTGGAGTCAGCTCGAGATTCTCTCCCTTCCTCTGCTCCATCTCCCTACCCCAACTCATACATGTATGCATGCTCTCTCTCTATCTCTCTCAAATAAATAAATAAATAAATAAATATTTTTAAAAGTGCCTCTTTCTCCACATACTTACCATTGATGAGGATTATATTTTCCTTACTAATTTGACAGACAAAAAGGTCACGAAGGAAATCCTATTTTGTTTTATCTGTTTTGTTTTTAAGATTTTATTTATTTTTTTGACGGGGGGGGGGGAGCAGCAGTCAGAGAGACAGGGAGAAGTAGGCTCCCTGCCTGCTGAGCAAGGAACCCAATGTGGAGCTTGATCCCAGGAGCCTAGGATCATGACCTGACCTGAAGTCAGATGCTTAACTGATTGAGCCATGTAGGCATCCCAGGAAAATCTCATTTTAAATTTACGTGTATTTATTTTACTATTGATGAGCTTGAACATTTTTTCATATCTTTGTGGGTCATTTTTTTTCTCTTTCATAAATTTTCCCACTTTACATTGAGATACTTTGATTTTTTTTTCTTATTGATTTGTAGGAGCTCTTTAAATGTTAGGGATTTTGGACCTTTCTCATATATGTAATGGTTTCTCAGTTTGTTAATAATTTTGCCAAATATAGGGTATTTTTCTTTTATGACTTATGCCCTTGGTCAAGTCCTTCTTAACTCTGAGATTATGTAAATATTCAGTAATGTTTCCTCTATACATTGATCTATTTACATTAGTCTAATATTATGGCTTTAAGAAAAGTATTGTTAGTTTTCTTCATACAGACTGTGCATTTCTGGTCTTAGGCACATTTATTTCTGCGACTTTATATTATTTGTGCTACTACTTTGTGGAGTCTATTTTCTAATAGGACATTACTATTCTATGGGAAGGTTATTAGTTCTAATAAACTTTACATTTATTTTATATGATTTTCAAGGCACATATTGTATATCATCTGAAATAATGACTTTTTCATTCCCATCAAAATTTCATTTTACTTTAATTGTACAATGCACAAACTTCCAGAACACTGTTGACTATGTTAAAAGAACTTAGTAACTTTTATACATTGATATCTATACGTCTGTCCTCCACTGCCTCTGTGAGCCCAAACAGGAAGAAAGATTAGATAATTGGCAATTTACATAAAATCTTGATCAATGTGGTAGAAGTTCTTTTAATATTAAATTTATTTATTTTTTTCAGTAGTTACTGCACCTGAACTACTTTATCTGAGAAAACAAGCTCAAGAACTGGTGGATGAAAATGATGGGTTAAAGATGACTGTCCATCGTTTGAATGTAGAACTGAGTCGATACCAGACAAAATTCAGGCATTTGTCCAAGGAGGAGGTAATGTTTTCAATTTTAAAATACCAGTTTTCTGATATTTTTAGCCTTTACTGTTGAATTGCTTTCTTGAAGGAATCTGAAGTATCTATTATTACTTGGTATAAAAAAGGTATATCCAAAGCACAGTCTTCCTGGGGACCTTTCTGTGTCCTCCCTTCTTCCTTTCCTTTCCCATTTCTCAAAATGGGATAAAAGCAATAAGGCTCCTCATTAAAAAAAAAAAAAAAGCTGGGGACAATACAGACAGATATAAAGTTAAGGAGTAAAAGTCTATGTCATCAGCTCCATTCTTAGCCCTGTTCCTCAAGGGTACAGCTGTTGTTTGTTGGTGTACCAACTTTGGAAAGAATGCAGACTAGTTTTCACAGGTTCCCCAAATCACCTAGCTCTAATGGCCAATGGGACTTGAGTTCATGATTCCCACAGGACTAGCAAACAAAGAAACAGGCATGGGAGCACCCCTCTGTGCTCCCCCATGTTCAGCACAGGGGAAGCAGGCAAAAACACCCGTGTCCTACTTTTTCTCTAGAAGGAGTTTGAATGCATACTTCCCCAGCTGCTGCCAGAGGTCTGATTTCCAATCAGCTTGCATCTAAGTGCTGAAAACGGTCTTTACATTTGGGAAATTAATGAGCCTTAGTACACCCTCAACTACTGGGAGCCACTAAGAATGAAGACAGTGGCCTGGACAGTCATAGATGTTTGGGAGGCAAACAGGAACTCAGGCTGGGCTGATTGATGAGGCTCATCTCATCTCTTATATGAGACCAGTGTCAAAATTGGGAGAGGTAGGCTTTTTTCCTAATGCACAGAAACCAACACAGAGAGTTAAGGAAAATGCAGAAAAAAGGGACTGTGTTCCAAACAAAAAGATCAGAAACTGATTTTAATGAAGTACAGATAATCAATGTACTCAATAGAGAGTTCAAAATAGGTCATAAAGATGCTTACCAACGTCAAGAGAGCATGGATCACGTGAACATTTTGACAAAGACTGAAAAACTAAAAAGTACCAAACAGAAATCATACAGCTGGAGACTGTAATAAACAAACTAAAAAATTCAACAGAGGGGTTCAGCAACAAACTAGAGTAAGTGGAAGAAAGGACCCATGAAGTGAAGACAGAGCAGTGGAATTCAACCACTCAGATAAGCAAAAAGAAATTGAAAAAGACTGATGAGCCACTATCAAGTAGATTACAGGGGTCCCAAAAGGAGGAGAGACTTCCCTAACCTGGGGAGAGAAACAGACATCCAGATTTAGGAAGTTTGGAGAGTTCCAAATAGGAGAAACCCAAAGACACCCATATCAAAACACATTATAATTAAAGTGACAGAAGTTAAGGAAAGAATTTTAAAAGCCCCAAGAGAAAAACAACTTCTTACGCATGAGGGAACTCCCATAGTGCTATCAGCAGATTCTTCAGCAGAAACTTCACAGGCCAGAAGGAAGTAGTGTGGTATATCTGAAGTGCTAAAAAAGAACAGAAATAAAAAAACTGCCAACCAAGAATACTCTACCTGACAAAGCTATCCTTCCAAAATGAAGGATAGAGGAAGAGTTTTCTGGACAAGCATAAGCTGAAGGAGTTCATCACCACTAAACCGGCCTTAAAGGGACTTCTCTAAGCTAAAACAAAGAGGCAAACTAATAATAAGAAAACACATAAGAGAAATAATAAATGAATCCAATAAATTTACAGGATACAAAAATCTATGTACAAAAGTCAGTTGTGTTTCTAGATGCTAACAACAAACTACTAGAAAGAAGAATTAAGGGATGCCTGGGTATCTCAGTGGTTAAGCGTCTGCCTTCAGCTCAGGGCATGATCCTGGAGTCCCGGGATCAAGTCCCACATTGGGCTCCCTGCATAGAGCCTGCTTCTTCCTCTCCCTGTGTCTCTGCCTCTCTTTCTCTCTGTGTCTCTCATGAATAAATAAATAAAATATTTAAAAAATATATTTTTAAAAGAAGAATTAAGAAAAAAATCACACTTATAATAGCATCAAAAAGAATAAAATACTTTGAAAGAAATTATAAAGCAGGAGGGGTGCCTTGATTTCAGCTCAGGTCATGATCCCAGATTTCTAGAATTGAGCCCCACATCAGGCTCCCTGCTCAGCAAGGTGTCTGCTTTTCCTTCTACCCCTTCACCTGCCTCTGCTTGTGCTCTCTCTGTGGCTCATGCTCTCTGTCTCTTTTTCTCTCTCTCTGTCTCTCTTTCTCTCTCTCAAATAAATAAATAAATAAATAAATAAATAAATAAATAAATATCTGAAAAAATTTACAAAGGGGGGTAAAAGATCTGTACACCCAAGAAGATAAAACACTGGTGAAAGAAATTGAAGAAGACATAAATAAGTAGAAAGATTTTCTGTGTTCATAGATCAGAAGAATTAATATAGTTAAAATGTCCATACTACTCAAAACAATCTATAGATTCAATGCAATGCCCTTCCAAATTCCAGTGGCATTTTTCACAGAAATAGATTTAAAAAAAAATCCTAGAATTTGTAAGGAATCACAAAAGACTTCGAACAGCCAAAGCAATCTTGAGAAAGAAGAACAAAGTTGGAGACCACACACAGATGATTTCAAGCTATTACAAAGCGACAGCAATCAAAACAGTGTGCTATTGGCATAAAAACAAACATATAAACCAATGAAAGAATTGAGGGCCCAGAAATAAACCCATGCGTATATGCTCCATTATTTTTGACAAAGGAACCAAGGATACACTATGAGGAAAAGACAGTCTTTTCAATAAATAATGTCGGAAAAACTGGATGCAAAAGAATGCAACTGGATCCCTATGTTACACTGCACCCAAAAATCTCAACTCGCTATGAATTAAGGACTTGAGTGTAAGACCCTAAATCATAAAACTCCTTGACATCAATCTTGGCGGTGATATTTTGGATTTGACACCAAAAGCGACAAGCACTGAAAGCAAATTAACCAATGGGGCTACGTCAAATTTCTCAGCAATGGGAGCCATCAGCAAAATGAAGACAGCCTATGGAATGGGGGAAAATATTTGCAAAGCACATGTCCAGTAGGGGATTAGTATCCAAAAAAGTAACGAGGAACGCATAGTACTCAACGGTAGAAAATAACTCAATTTAAAACTTGGCAAAGGACCTAAATAGCCACTTTTCCAAAGAAGACATACAGATGACCAACAGGTGCTCAACATCACTCATCAGCAGGGAAATACATATTAAAATAATAATTAGCTATCGCCTCATACCCATTAGCGTGTCTATTATTAAAAAGAGAAGAGATAGCAAGTGTTGGTGAGGGTGTGGAGAAAAGGACCCCTCGTGAACTGTCGGTGGGAATATCAGTGGGTGCAGCCACTGTGGAAAACAGTGTGGCGGTTCCTCAAGAAATTGGAAACAGAACCACCATGTATCGAGCAATTCCACTTTGGGTAGATGTCCAAAGGAAACAAGATGAGTATCTTGAAGAGACGTCTGTACTTGTATGTTCACTGAAGCGTTATCTACCACAGCCAAGGTATGGAAACTGCCCCCAAGTCTGTCAGCAGATAAATGGATCAAGAAAATGTGTATATACAAAAATGTGATTGATGTATATGTAACGTGGTGTACGTACATACAGGAGGTATTTCTGTCATCTGCAACAATGTAGGTGAACATGAAGGGCATTCTGCTAAGTGAAACAGGCCAAAGTCAGACAAATACTGCATAGTATCATTTATATGTGGAATCTTAAAAAAAGTAAGTCAGGGACACCTGAGTGGCTTAATGGTTGAGCATCTGCCTTAGGCTCAGGGCGTGATCCTGGGGTCCTGGGATCAAGTCCTACTTCAGGCTCCCTGTCTCTGCCTCTCTCTCTGTATGTCTCTCATGAATAAATAAATAAAATCCTTTAAAAAAAAAAAGTCAAACATACAGAAACAGTAGGGTAGTGGTTGCCATGGGCTGGGGGGTGGAGGAAATAGGGAGAGGCACAAACTTTCAGTCATGAGTAAGATCTGGGGATTAATGTATAACGTGATGATTATAGTTGATTATCTTCTGTCATATAATTGAAATTTGCTAAGAGAGTAGAACTTAAATGTTCTCTCTCTCTTTTTTTTTAAGGCAAAAATGTGAGGTGATGGGCGTGTAATTAGCTTGGTGGTGGGAATGCTTTCACAATGTAGGCATATATAAAGAGAGAAGAAAGCAGACTAGTTTTTACTTTAGAAGAGAGGTTGCAGGATTCAGTTCGATAAACTCACCAAGCAAAGCACTGTGTTAGATGCTGTGAGGAATAACAAGAGGAGCCAGAAGGTCAGGTTCTTGTCCTTAGAGAGTAGTGCATGTGAGGGAGGGGCAGGGGCAAGGGCAGGGAGGTGATACATGTCAGGATACACAGCTGACTGGCCCCTGCTGGGATCAAGGTGGGAGACCAGGAGTGCACCTGGTCTCACATGGCTCATGGGAATTCAGGGCAGCTTCCTGAGCTTCTAATTTTAAAGTAGGACTTAAGTTTAAATTTTTATTTATTTATTTTAAAGATTTTTATTAACTTCAGAGAGAGAGAGATAGTGCACAAGCAGGGGAAGGGGCAAAGGCAGATGGAAAAGCAGACTCCCCGCTGAACAGGGAGCCCCACATGAGTCTCGATCTCTGGACCCTGGGATCATGACCTGAGCCGAAGGCACTTAACCAGTTGAGCCACCCATGTGCCCTACGTTTAAAATTTTTTGAGATATAATTCACGTATCATTCAATTCACCCATTTAAAGTGTGAAGTTCAGTGATTTTTACTGTCTTCACAGAATCATGCAACCATCACTGCAGTCAGTTGTCGAACAAGTTCATCACAACAAGAAATTTCCCCCCTGTTAACAGTCACCCCCATTTCCCCCACCACCTGCACTGGTTCTTGCAGCCACTAATCTACTTCCTGTCTCTGTTGATTTGGCTTTGTGGAACATTTCATATAAACAAAATCATACAACATGTCGTCTTTTGTGACTGACTCCTTTCATACAGCATAATTTTTTTTTTTAATGACAGCAAAAAAATTATAGTTCTTAGGGTCACATGATCCAAAACAGGCTTCCTAGGCCAGGGCCCTCTGCAGGGCTATGGGCAGTTCTCTTTAAAAATGATACAGATGAAAAAAAAAAAAAAAGGATACAGATGGGCAGGTCACTGCCCTCCCACACCTTTCCACCCTGTGCAGATGCCCCATTCTCCATGACAATCTTCCCTGATCACTCCAGCTGGTTATGATCTCTCTCTCTCTTAAATCATCACAGGATTTTGTTTGTACCACTCTTAAGGCAGCTAGAACATTCCACTATTCCATAGTACTATATTTGTGTGTAGTGTATTATGTTCAAGAGAAGACTTATCTTTGTTAGACCATAAAGTCCTGAAAGACCATTGTGTTGTGATATCCATAATGACTTAGAGAGTTCTAACTATTTGCTGAATGAATGAGTGATGATATGGATATTAAGGAGAATGTGTTAATAAGTTTTTCTGAATAAAGAATTATTCCATTAGGACAATTGGTTCTGAGCCTGATGGAATGACCATTACCAGGTTTGCCCTTTTACTATCATAACTAGAAAATTCTACAGAATACATACAAGATTTTATTTATTTATTTGAGAGAGAGAGAGAGGCAGAGCAAGCGCAAGGGTGAAGAGGGGCAGCAGGAGAGGGAGAAGTAGACTCCTCGTTGAGCAGGGAGCCCGATGCAGGTATCAATCCCAGGACCTTGATATCATGACCTGAGCTGAAGGCAGATGCTTAACTGACTGAGCCACCCAGGCACCCCTACTGAAGCAGATTTGTATTCAACAAAAGAGAAGGGTGAAACTCTTTGAGGCCAGGCAGAAAACAAATTCAGGGAGCTGTGAGCCAAATAATTAACACTGGGAGACTGGGCTGACTACAAAGGAGTAGTTTGTTGAATAGTGCAGCATTGTGTGAAGAGCCCAGAGGGACCTTGCCTCAATAGCTGGCTAAACTAGCCTCTTAGTAAATACCCACCCTGACCAGGTAAAAAATGGGCCTCAAAAACATCAGGTTGATCCATGAGTGACTTAAGAGCTACAAAAAAAAAAAAAAAAAAAAAAAAAAAAAAGATGAAAAAAAACCCCACACTCTTTAAAGGAAGACAACCAAATCCAGACCCTCCACATGTAACACTATAAGAGTTCAACATTCAATAAACAATTACTAGATATGTTCCAGATTTAAGAAGACTGAAAAGGCTTGACAACTAAATGCAACATACAATCCTGGATTGGATCCTTGATCAGAAAAGAACATTAGTGGGAAAATAGGCAGCATTTGAACATAGTCTAGATTAAAATATAGTATTGCATCAGTGTTGATTTCCTGATTTTTGTATTACTGTGGTTGGGTAAATGAATGTTTTTAGGAAATATACACTGAAATATTTTGAGGAAAGGGACCATTATATCTGCAAATCACTCTCAAACATTTCAGAAAAAAATTGATTTTATACACACACACACACACACACACAAACACCTCTGAATGCATATACATGTATGGATTGCTGATGCCCAGTCTAGAATAGGAATATCTAAGACTTATTTGTAATATCATGGATCAATCTAGAGGGTATAATGCTAAGCAAAATAAGTCAGAGAAAGACGAATACTGTATGATTTCACACATATGTGGAATTTAAGAAACAAAACAAGCAAAGGGAAGAAAGAGAAAAACCAAAAAAAAACAGACTCTTAACTATAGAGTACAAACTAGTGGTTCCCAGGAGGGTGAGGGATGGGGGAAACACGTGAAGGGGATTAAAGAGCACACTTATGATGATCACTGAGTCATGTATAGAACTATTGTTGAATCACTATATTGCACGGCTGAAACTAATATAACATTGTATGTTAACTATACTGAATCAAAATAAAAAATTTAATTAAAAAAATAAGGCTTGAACTTTCAGAGGAAGCATTGTTTAATTTGCCTTTCCTATGTGTTTTGTTCTTAGATTTTAAATATCAATGGCCTCCCATCTGAGGGCCCAGCACCACCCTGGTTGGTAAGTGAAAGTTACTTAATTTCAGGCCCATATTTTCTGGGCTATAGTTGAATAGCTATTGAAAACCATTCCAAATTAAGTAAATTTTCTTACCTTTTAAAGAATGTGCTGATTGTGTTCAGACATAAGACCTCTGTCTTTATTATTTCATTATGTTCAGTTGGATGTAAAGTACCTGTCACCCTTGTTACTGGCATATGAAGACCGAATGAAAGAGAAGGATGAGCTCAATGCCACCCTTCAGGTAGGCTGGCAGACGTCTCAGGACAAGGTTTATAAAAAAATAAGACCGTTTCAAACTTGAAAGAAACATTTTAAAGATAGGTATGCCCAATGTGTACTATGTACTCAAATGTTGGAGGGAGGGAAAGAGGAAATGGGGGGAGGGAGGGAGGAAGGAAAGAATGAAGGAGTGTAGTGGTACAGGTGGGTAGGACGGAAAGAAAGGAGGCAGGGAGGGAGGGATCATTGGAGCAAGAGGGGTGCACCCGGATGGATGGAAGAGGTGTAGAGGGATGTGATGCTGCTGCATCAGAAGCCCAGATTTCCCAGCAGGCAGGGCCATGCGGGTTGGGCTCTTGGGGTATGGACAAGACAGCAGTAAGGGATGCCCTTTTCCTGGTGCTCTGCAGCTGCAAACTCTACTGTGGAAGAGACAATCAGGCAGACATGGGAAGGTGGTAGGTAGGCCAGCTCTGTTCTAGGCAGACCTAAGTGTTTTTAATTCTCCGAAGAGCCAACCACAGGGAAGCCCAGTTCTGGGGGTAGTGGTGAGGACACCGGGTTTTGTAGGTCCTGCCCTCTTTACCTCTGTTCCGTGAGAATGGCTTCTGGCAGCAGAGCTCATTCTCATTACACAGCGGGGACAAGGCTACTTGGGTGTTGTAGATATGCCCATCCTTTCTGTGCTGTTTTTATAAGTGGCCAAAGAGATCTCTAGAATTGGAAGGATCCAAAGAGAAAAGTTTGGGTTTCCTGGGCTCTCTGACTGGAAGGGTCTGCAAAGTCATGCAGCCTACCCTTGTTATACTGTCCATGTCCGTGGTCCACATAATACAATTTTGTACCTTTTTTTCTAGATTTTCTGTTGGACACTTAACTTTATAAGAGAGCAGATTAATCTTAGATTAATTGCTTAACTATCAAGCAAAATAATTAACAAAATTAACTTGGTATTCCTTCTAAACCAGGGGTCAGCAAACAATTTTTGTAAATGGCCATTTAGTAAATATTTTAGGCCTTGCAGGCCTTGCGGCCTCTGTGTACAGTTCCTCAGCTCTGTTATAGTAGCATGAAAGCTGCGATAGACAACGGGCGAGTGAATGGGCATGGCTCTGTTCCAATAAAACTTTATTTACAAAGCAAGCAGCTGGCCTGCAGGCTTTAGTTTGAGCCCTGTTCTGTGAAAGAGTTCTCAGCCACTGGGGGGTGTGTCTGGGCAGAAAGGTGAAAGAGCAGCCCCTTGGCACTAAATGTTGCTAAACAGGTATAAGGGTGAATGTCTAATAGCTGGGAGAAGAATGTGTAGAAGCATCCGAGAATAAACACTGGCAGCTAAGGTTCTTGCTCAAGGCCACATCACGACACTGAAGCCCATGGAGGGCTGCCTAAGAAAGCAGTGGGGGAGGAGGCCCAGCAGGAGTACCGTGTAGTGTCAGGAGGCAAAAGCAGATCCCGACACAGTCCTCAGGCCAGCTGTCCTGACAGCTTCAGGTAGGGGAGGCCTTGTCATCGTCATAGTGGGGCAGGATCAGGAGACTCCAAGCCCTGCCCACTCCAACCCCTTCGACCCCCAAGTGGGCTTTAATTAGGATGAAAAGTTCTTACTTTTATCTGAAAAGCTCCAATTTATCCTCTAAAGTCTTTAAACAAAGGACAGGTTGCAGTGTTCATAGGCATCTCTGGTTTTTTTTGACCTGCCTTTATCTATCTTTTCAAGTATTTGGCACTTGTAGACAAATGTCATCAAATCAGGAATTGAACATTTCAGACCCGAGGCTCTCTGTCCTGGTACTCAGCATCATGGTTGACTCCTGGTTTCTCAGTGGCGGGGAGGGGGACACGGGACGGGGGCTTCTAGAGCTCAGGCACCTGGCCCTGGGACCTGCTGTTGCTGTGAGACTTGGCTAGAAAGCTGCTGACCTTTGACTTGAGCCGCAGCAGCATCATGAGAACTAAGAAATAAGTGGTGCCACGTGTGTATGCGTGTGTTAACAGTTTACCTCTGCTTTATTTCAGGAGGAAATGAGGATGTTCAGGATGCGAGTCCAGGAAGTGGTGAAAGAAAACGAAGAATTGCACCAAAAGTTAACTAAGAGTAGTCCTGTTACCAATGAGGAATGGCAAGTGGTGCTGGGTTTCTGCTATTTTACTAACTCAAAAGAGAGTAACAGGAATAAATTTTATTTATTTATTTATTTATGTATTTATTTACTTATTTATTTATTTATAAAGATTTTATTTATTTATTCATGAGAGACATAGAGAGAGAGAGACAGGAAGAGACACAAGCAGAGGGAGAAGCAGGCTCCATGCAGGGAGCCTGATATGGGACTTGATCCTGGGACTCCAGGATCATGCCCTGGGCCAAAGGCAGGCGTTAAACCGCTGAGCCACCCAGGGATCCCCAGGAATAAGTTTTATTAAATCATCAGATACATCTTCTTTCCTTAACTAAAATATTTTCAGGGAGAGTTTCTAAGAAATTAATAAGCTATGATGAAAATGGAGTAAAATATTCTAAACTTGAATTTTAAAGATTATGACGTTAAAAATCCTAAATAGGTTTTTAAACCTGAAATCCATCTACTCTCCCCAGTTTTATTTTCTGAGGTCGTATGTCTGTACGGCAGTTTTCCCATCCCAAATCCCTTTCTCATCCCAAAGGGATGTGACTTTGAGTCACATCCCTTTTGCCCCCTGTGACTGTGCCCAGGGCTTTCAAAGAGACAGCTCAGGATGGGGCCCCGTACACCCAGCTCCCACCTGCCCTGCCCTTTCTGCAGCCTCCCATTCTCTGACAGCTGAGTCTGGCCTTACTCTATCCCACTGCTGGTGCTGCCTCGCCCCAGAATGCCCCTTCTGCACCCTTACCCACCCATCTGGCCCTGCTCACATGGCCCTGAACGAACGGTGCTGGTCAGTAGCTCTCCCTGAAGGCAGAGATCATTGCTCCTTTGTCTTAGCTTCTGACACAGCCCTGGACACGCGCCCTGTCCTGGTATGTGCCATGCTGTCCCTACCTGTGTGTCTCCACGCCTGTCTCACCTGTCCTCTGTGATGAGCTCCTCGAGGGCAAGGCCGTGTCTGGATCATCAGCCCAGTGGCAGCAGATGGCTAGTCATGAATATGAGAAAGTAATTGTCTTAGAAAGTCTAAACGCAATGTCCAAGCAAAAACTATTCAGATCGATCTTTTCCTCCTTGGGTAGCTGTGTTATATTTAGTAACTTTTAAGGTACCTTAACATCCCTGAACAAAATTAAAATATTTTCCCCAGTGATGTCCAGGAATTTGAGATAAGAGTCAGCAGGCTTCCTCCCATTAGGTGGGTTCTCTGTGACGCGACGGTCACTGAAGTGCCAGCTGGGAGTGGCCTGGGCAGCTGCTGGATCTCAGGGCACACTGTGGCTTCCCCTGTTGAACTTGCCTTCTTCTGTCGGGGCTCCTAGCCTGTTTCTCCCTCGAACCCTGGAAAGCAGGTCAGTTAGACTGCTTCCAAGAGCCCTCCAGGGACCTGAGATCTCAGATCCTTCCTCTAACGTTGTATATACGTGCTGGTCAAACCCGTTTCTTTCTCTATAAAGTGAAAATAAATAAACAACAGAAAAGAAATACCTTACTCTCAAATCCACTTGTGCACAGTATTCCCCAATCCTGCTATTAAGGCCTGTGCTTGCCACGCTGCTCTAGTGTGGCAGCCTGGGCCTGGGTGGGCAGCGCTAGGTCTGTGTGGTGCCCCTGGAGGCCCCCCAGGTGGCCTCCCCCTTCTCTAACACTCGGTCCTCCAGCTCGGGGAGGGGTCCTGTAGGCAGATCTGCTGGCCCTGCAGCCCCTGGCTCTCATGACCCCGCACCCCCCAGCCTCCTTGGGTGCTGTCCGCTGTCCCCGCACAGGTGTCAGGTGCAGTACACCGCCCCGGACACTCGGCCACGCCAACTTCACACTGCAGTCAAAGCCGTCCCCTCAGACTCACGTAATTTCTCCGTGGACTTCTGGGCTGCAGCTAAACTCTGCGTTTCTCTTCCTGACTTCCTCTGGCCAACTGGGATACCTCATGCTTAATGGGCCTTAGCTTCTTTACCCACAAAGTGGGAGAGAATATTAGACTAAGTCTTAGGTTTTAACTCTTTTTTTTTTTTTTTTAAAGAATTAGGAGAAGCTCTTTTGTTTAAAAAAGAAAGGAGACAGAATGGTGGGAGGGGAAGAAAGGAAGGAGGGAAACAGATGGGGAAAGAAGTAAAGAGGGCAGGAAGGAAGGAGAAAAAAGAGGGAGGAAGGAAGGAAGTTGGAAGAAAGTCCAAAGTGTGAATGGGGGGAAGTGGGGCTGGTCAGCCTGAGGCGGGAGGGAGGAGGCCGGAGCAGGCCAGCCTGGGTGGGCATTCGGCAGGGTAGCTCCCTCCCCATCGGGGGCGCGGGCGTCTGCAGCAGGTGCCTGGCAGCCAGGGTGCAGCTGCTGTTGGAGGGAGGCCGTTGCTGTAGCTTGGCTCCTTTTGCCTTTTTTCCTCTCCTTCCTCCACCTCACTTTTTGAGTTTAAGGTGAAAGTTTGTGGTAATTTACTGGTTTATTACATGCTTTGAACAATAAGCATCTAACCAGACTTCGAAGGTGCCTTAAGCTCTCTCTAATTGGAATCTTTGATCCTGAAGGTTGAGCCGGGCCGGGATTCACTCTGCACCCCCTGTAAGGAAAGGGCTGTTTTAGTACTCAGTACAGTTTAAGAAACCAGCCAGAGGCTTTCAACAAAATCATTGTTTGGGGGGCAGATAGGCTATTGATAATATGTGAGTTATTTCTCTTTTTTTTTTCTAATTTTTTAAAAAAGATTTATTTATTTATTTTTGAGAGAGAGGGAGGCAGAGAGAGGCAGAGACACAGGAGGAAAGAGAAGCAGGCTCCATACAGGGAGCCCGACATGGGACTCGGTCCCGGGACTCCAGGATCCCGCCCCAGGCCAAAGGCAGGCGCTAAACCCCTGAGCCACCCGGGATCCCCTATTTCTCAATTAAAATAGGAGCTTTCTAAATTCTAAGTTCTAATTTTTTTTAAATTTTTATTTATTTATGATAGTCACACAGAGAGAGAGAGAGAGAGGCAGAGACATAGGCAGAGGGAGAAGCAAGCTCCATGCACCGGGAGCCCGACGTGGGATTCGATCCCGGGTCTCCAGGATCGCACCCTGGGCCAAAGGCAGGCGCCAAACCACTGCGCCGCCCAGGGATCCCCTAAGTTCTAATTTCTAAATTCTAAATTCTTCTCATTTCCTACTGGCTTTCAGAACAGTCCAGTGGGCGTCAGGACTGGAGGTTTATACATGTTGTTCAGGCTGGGTGTTGTGTGGTGTACATGAGAGTCTACTATCCGACTCTTTTCTGCTTTTGTAAGTGTCTAAAAAGCTACTGAAGCAGTTCATAATTCAAACTTTATCGCTGTCCTGAGTGGCAGTATTTAATTTTGTGAATGAATTATAGGCGTCAGCTACAGACTCAGGCAGAACTGGTTCTAGAGGAAAACAAATTGTTGATAGAGCAGCTGGAGATTCAGCAACGAAAAGTCAAGGACACCCACCAGGAGCGTCTCCAGGAAGGTGAGCCACCTTTCCAGCGAGGAATCATGATTACTGTTGCATCATTTTACACCTGCGCCCCCACCCCCCACCCTGCTCCTGGGAAGGACCCCCTTCAAATTAAAGATGGAGGAAATCAGGTTTTCTCGAATGCGGCAGCTGTGTATGGTATAGCACATCCCACCGTTACCCATAATGCGTCGATTGCCTTCTCTTAGACTCCGTAGTGTCTTTCCGGGTATCCTAAATATGTTTTAAAGCGTATGTAGATGGTCCCTTAGAGCCAGCAGAACTGGGCTTGGGGGCACCAGTGCCACATAAGTGGAAAGAAATCATGTGAGGTGAATATTTGAAACAGCGCCAGCATCAGTTTCTGAATATTTGTTATGTGAGTAAATAAGTAGAACAAATTTGCTCTCTGAACAGTTTCTTTGTTCTCTTGCCCTTCCTTCAGAGCCGAGTCTCCCTTCTGTACCTTCTGTGAGCCCCCCCTCGCCCCATGTGGCCCTCCCTGCTCCTCAGAGGTGCACAGCATACGGCTGGGGACTTTATTTATTTTTAAATGCTATTTTTTTTTTAAGATTTTATTTATTTATTAATGAGAGACACAGAGAGAGAGAGAGCAAGCAGCAGAGACATAGGCAAAGGGAGAAGCAGGCTCCATGCAGGGAGCCTGACATGGGATTTGATCCTGGGACCCCAGGATCATGCCCTGGGCTGAGGGCGGTGCTAAACCCTGAGCCACCCAGGCTGCCCTGGCCGGGGACTTTAAAGTGGGCCAGATTGAGTCATTTCTCCTACTTTGGTTAAACCCAAATTTACAAGCACGAAAGGTAGTGGCATTTTCTTCCCTTTACTTTACTGACTTTTCTTTTCCAGCAAAGAATAATATAGGACAGGAGGGCAAAATATCAGTGTCTTGAGTGAGCCAGTGTATCCCCTTTCCGTTTTCCCTTGTGCTCCTGATTCTTTAATGACTGCCCCTAACACACAGGGCCCTAGAGCCCCCACTGCTGCTGAAGCTACAGGGCTGGCACTTCATTTGTTTCCGCGAGCCAGGAAGTGAGAGCGTCCTGGGGCGCCCGGGTGGCTCAAAGTCAGTTGAGCATCCGACTCTTGGTACCCGCTCAGGACATGGTCTCTGAGTCGTGGGATCAAGCCCTGCATCGGGCTCTGTGCTTAGTGCGGAGCTTCAGATTCTCTCTCCCTCCACTTCTCGCTCACTCTCTTTCTTTCAAGGAAATAAATCTAAAATAAATAAATAAAAAATAAAAATAAATAAAAGAAGGTCTGTCAGAGCGTCCAACAAGAATATCCTTCACAGGACTTCCCCTTACACTCTCCGTGGCACACACATATTTACCTTTACTCTGGCGTTACTTGGGGCGGGGGAGAAAGAACGCTGTCATGCTTTCTGTCTTTGTTTTCGAAATCAGAGATGGCAGGGAAAATTAATTTGGTATTTCCTGAGCTTAATTCCTTCCAATGTCGCAGATATGAGCAGGTATGATGATTGTTCTAGTCAGGGAGGATAGATTCAATCCAGTCACCTGCCTATCTTACCTTCCCATTTCCTAGAAGGAGCCATTCATTTTGATCAACTAGATCTTTCCATGGAGTAGAAGGACTTAAGGTTTTATGCTCTAATACCTCTTAGTGCCATAGTGTCAACTATGGAAGAATCTTACCATTACGTATACATTGTTGCACGGGGTGAAAATATTTATGATGCACTTTAAAACATAACTTAATGAGGAAAAGGAAGAAAAGTTGGGCCATGCTTGATGGCCTTAAATACTTGAAAATCTGCACATCTGGGTATAACTTAAGGCTTCAGTCTTTGGAAGTCCATTCTTTAAAGGCTAAAATCCTCTCGTTTGGCTGACATCATAGATCAACAATGATATCAATATATTGAGCCCCAGTAAGAAAGTCTACATTTGGTCAATGTTTAATATTGGGACAGTAGTTTCTAAGTATAAGGCTTTGCGCATTAATATATAAATCTCCAAAAGATTTTTTTTTCAAGATTAGTGTTTTCCTAACCTGGCTGTCCGTGATATTACCTACTAATCAATCATCGTGTTTCTTAAGTCTTCTGTACCACTGCTTTATCTATCTCGTTTGTTTTTCAGTTTCTAAAGTGACCAAACAACTAATGCTTCTGGAGACTAAAACACAGAACCAAGAAAAAGAACTAACTGAAAAGAAGGAGCAATTGGAAAGTTTACGTACCGAATGCCAGAACCTAAAAACGCAGCTGGATGGCAAGATTGCAATGAACGTTCACACTTCAATTGTAAATGAGTTAAAAAGGTAAGGATGCAGTGTCTTGTCAAGTTTGAGTGCATCACCGTGTGTGTAGTTTTAGGTGGAATAGAGAGAGGCTGCCCATCTTTTCCTGAGTCATTTAGCTACACCCGCACAGATGTCTGGGACTGAGAATGGTAAACCTGTGCTTACTAAAGTCCATTAGGCCTGTCCTTGAGGGCCATGGTCTGCACTATGTGTGTGTGTGTGTGTGTGTGTGTGTGTGTGTGTATGACTTCTTCTCTCCCAGCTCTTCCAGCCTTTATTGGTTTTAGGCCCAAAGATAATCTAAAGTAGGGAATCCCTGGGTGGCCCAGCGGTTTAGCGCCGCTTTTCGCCCAGGGCCTGATCCTGGAGTCCCGGGATTGAGTCCCGTGTTGGGCTCCCGGCATGGAGCCTGCTTCTCCCTCTGCCTGTGTCTCTGCCTCTCTCTCTCTCTCTGTCTATCATAAATAAATTTAAAAAAAAATCTTAAAAAAAAAAAAATCTGAAGTAGTGGAACTGGAAACCTGGATACCCAGTCAGAGGGAGCTGATTGGATAAAAGGAGACAATCATGAAGTGCAATGCAGTGCAGCCATTAAACAGGACATCACAAAAGAGTCTTTTGGGAAGTTTGGGGAAATAAATATTTTTGAGTGAAGAAAGTAGATTACAAAACGGTATGTCTAGAATGATTGCAGTTTTATTTAAAAAGGAAAAAAGTATATGAATGTGTATTAAGGTGACCAACCATCTCTGTTTGCCTGGGATTGAGGTTTTCCCAGGATGTGGGAATCCCAGTGCTAAACTTGGGAAAGTCCAAGGCAAACTGGGATGAGTTGATCATTCTAGCGTGTGTGTGTCTTTGTATGTGTAATTGCGTATGTATACACACTTGAATGTATATGGTCACACACACGTACATAAGTGCATAGAAAAAAAAGACTGGAAGAATGGAAAAATATTAACAGAAATTCTCTTTGGCAGGTGAAAATTCTGTGTGTATATCAGTAATCAGGGTTCTCTAGAGAAACAACTAATATATATGTAGGATACGTGTTAGATATTTCTAGAGATTTATTTTAAGGAATCGGTTTACACAGTTATAGGGGCTGGCAAATCCAAAGTTCATAGGACATCCGGCTGGCTAGGAATTCGGGCAGGATATGTCTCTGCCTCTCTCTCTTTCTCTCTCTGTGTCTATCATAGATAAATTAAAAAAAAATTTTAAAAAAAAAGGAATTCGGGCAGGATTTCTGTGTTAGTCTTGAGGCAGAATTCCTTCTTTGGGAAACCTCAGTTTTGGCTTAGAAAGCCTTCAACTGATTAGACGGGGCCCACCCACATTCTCGAGGGTAAGTTTTACTTAAAGTCAGTTGCTTATAGAGGTTAATCACATCTACGAAATAACTTTCACAGCAGCATCTGTCTAATGTCTTGCCAAACAACTGGGAACCGTAGCCTAGCCAAGATGACACGTAAAATTAACCATCAAAACGGGTGATTTAAAATCAAATTTTAAAATTTAAAAAAAAAACGTAAACAAAAAAATGGTTGATTTAAATTTTCTTTGTGGTTTTTATAAAATATTTTCCATGTGTTCTATTATGAATATGCATTACCTTTGTAATGGGGTAAATAATTTTTTAAATGGTGAAGCTCTCAGCTAAGGTGTTTGGCGTGGGGGAATCAATGAGTCGGTGCATGCAAAATGCTTAGATTAGTACTTTAGTAAATGCTGGTGATTCCAACTACTGGAACCCCGTGTTTTGACTATACTGTTACATGCCGCCTGGGCCAGACCTGTGCCTTACTTTTCTGTTCCAGTAGAGGAAGGACTTTTTTTTCAAGTTCTGTTCATCTTTATGATTTTATTTGTCTCAAACACCCACTCCCTGTGGCTGACGGTTTCTTTTTTTGTGGATGTCATAATGACATACTCTTTTTTATTTTTTTAAAGATTTTATCTATTTACTTACTTGAGAGAGAGAAAGAGAGAGCTTGTAAGCCAGGAAGAGCAGCAGCAGGGGAGGGAGAAGAAGAGGGAAAGAATCCCAAGAATTGACACGGGGCTCCATTTCATGACCTGTTGATCATGCCCTGAGCCAAAACCAAGAGTCAGACACTCACCTGACTGAGCCACTCGGTTGCCCCCACAACCACATATTCTAATGTCCCCCCCCCAAGATGTGAGTATAGAGGTATAAAAACCTTCAAAAGGAGGCCACCAGTGGGAGTGGGAAGGCAGTGGAAGACATGGTTGTTGGGAAGGTACACATGTCACCCAATCTCTTTTAAGTGGAAATTAGGTGAGGGTGTTGTGGTAGAGGGTGACCCAGAGTAGGGACAGAAAGCCTTTATGCCAGCTCTTTGCTGGGACGCTTTGGGCTCCGAGTTGACGGGTGGGGTAGAGGGTAGAGGAGTCAGGGTGGATGTGGAGAGTTCACCCTGATGGTTCTCTTTTGGAAGGCACAGTGATTGGCAAGAGAATCGTTAACGCGGGGAGAGGGGCACCAATTCATCAAGGATGGAATGCGTGCACTCAGGGGAGTCTACAGAGGCTCTACCAAGACCTGGTGGAAAAACAGACGAGGGGAATACCACAGACATGAGGCGAGCCAAGGGCACAGGGGAGAAGGGCTGCAAGGCTTCAGAGCACCTGCCCTCTGGCTGCCTCCATTAGGGGGGCTCCCTCCCCACTCTGATAGGGCAGTAAGAGATGCACCACGTGTAGAAGGATAGTCATTAGTTAGCAGCAAAGCAGCTGTAGCACGAGCTCCTGCAATGGGGGTGAGTCTGAGAAGGAGTTTGGGAAAGAGTTGTGTCTCAGGCAAAGAAGAGGTCATGAGAAAAAGATTTTTGTTTTTATAGAAAAGGGGTAAATGGAACCTGTGCTCGATGAGCTTCTAGGTATGGTGCATGTGTGTTGTGTCTCCTTTCCTGGTGCAGGGCCGTGCGGATCATAACTATGAAAGGGCTCCTCCTTTTAGTCAGCTTGTTCTATCTGTTGGCAACCTCGCCTGGGAGGAGCCGTGGCCCAAGGAATAGCAGGAGGTTATTTTCCTAGTGAACAGTCACCTGCTGTGCTGGTGGTCACACCTGGAAGCTTGGATTGTTTTTTACTTTTACTGTTGCTTACAAAGGCTGAGCCTACCCAGGATGGGTGGTGGGAGGAAAACAGGGTGTCACCCCACTTCTAAAGAAAGTTAGCAGACTTGTTTAGGGAGAGCTAAGGGTTTGGGGTGACTAGTAGTATCTACACAAGGAAAGCCTTCCTTATTCTGGCTTTTGGGGCGGGAGAAGGATTGCTATTCTAAAGTGAAGCCAACTATTCATATAACTCATCTGTGTAGACAGAGTCTTGCTCAGCTGTCAGTGATATGCCAGCTCAGGGAGATGCCAGCGCAGAAGAGCAGCCTCTTTACATAATACATACGAAATGCCAAGTCCTTCATCCTAAAATAAGAACAGACTCCTAGGTGTGAACAAACGACAAGGATCATTGGGTATAGTGGGGGGAAAAATACAATAAAAGAGAGAGACCTACATAAGCACAGAAACTCACTTCTTTCAAAGAAAATATAATATAGAGAACTCAGAATACAGAGAGTAAGATGCCATAAAAAAGTACAATCATTAACAGCAAGATTGGAAACAATTACCAGAATCTAAAGAAAATTGCGTAGAAGGGCTTAAAGACACATTGGTCAATTCTGCTAGCACATAAGGAAACAATTAGGAATGGAGAGAAGGTGATGGATGGAAGACTTAGCTGTCCAGGAAGTCCCACCTCAGATCGTCAGGAATCTCAGAAAGAAAGATTAAGGAAAATGGGAAGGAAGACATAATTAGTTGAAGGACTTTTCCAAGTGTCCGACCACCTTGACTGCTAAGACCTGCAGAGTACCTGGTATAGTGAATGAAAAAGACCCGCACCCAGATACGCCCCCATGAAATATCAGTGGACCGAGAACGATGAGACAAGCCCATCACCTGCAAACAGATCGAGAGCTGGGGTTCCAAAGGGCTTCATCCTCAGGGTAAGGTGAACTTGGAACTAGTCAGCCCTCAATCTTCCCTGGAGGAAGGCTCTTTACCCCTAAAATTTTTTCAAGGATTGTGTCCAGGACACAAAGCAAGCCCGACATACAGTGACTGGGAACCAGCAGAAGTAGCAAATAATTATAATAAAGAATCCAGATAGGAGAGTTATCAGACAAAGCCTATAAAACAACTGGTACCTCTTAGGCTTAAAGAAATAAAAGCCTCCAAAATGTCTTCAGGGAACTATAAAACATAATACTGGATTCGGAAAGGAAGCAGAATGTTTAGAACTGGAAAATTACAATAACTGAAATTCAGAACTCACTGGATGGGCCTGACTGTAGATCAGACGTAGCAGGATGGTGGATTGGCGAACTGAAAAATAGGCCAGAAGCAAGTATCCCTAGGATCGCCTGGAGTGTTCTAAGGTTGTGGCATCACAGGCAGGAAGCGACACGGGGATGTATTTAACTGGGAGTGGTTAGAGGTATGTCCATGGGGAGTCTTCCCTGCTGAAGACGGTTGGCAGTCCGTGGGCTCTGCTAGCCCAGCGAGCACAAGCACGGTTGGGTAAGTGAAGAGCCATCTCAGTGAAAAGTGGAGGACAGAGTTCCTCAAAGGGAGTTCAGCGACAACAGGACGTTTAACAGGTCACAGGGGACACGCCAGTCACTGGAACGCTAGCTTCCAGGTGCTGGGGAACAAACAACCCCTGACGAGCTAGGATTTCATTCTGGAGAAAATGCCTTTCAGGAATAAAGTCAAAAGAAGGGTATTTTCAAACCCAAACTGAGCATCACCACCAGCAGACCTACATTAAAGGCAATTCTAAAAGTGGATATACATCGGGAGGAGAAACATAAGTCAGTGTTGGATGTGCGAGAGAGAAACTAGAGTAAGAGGGACACATAAAGATGTCAATAAACGTAAATGAACATTGATTCCTTGAAGCCATAATAATATCTTTTGGGATTGAAAAAT